GGACTGAACCAGTGGACAGAGGGGGGTCTCTGTCTCTCCTTAACTCTTTCAAAATAAATACAGCTTTTTAAAAAAATAGCCTTTACAAATATGCCCACGTGTACTAAAAATTTTATGGGAAAACTGGATTATAATGAAAGTGTCTAATCTCTTAAGATTTATTTATTTGAAACAGTTGCAGAGAGGTAGAGATACATAGAGATCTTCCTCCTGCCGATTTACTCCCTAGATGGCTGCAACAGCCGGGGCTGTGCGGCCGAAGCCAGGAGCTGCTTCTAGGTCTCCCGTGCAGGCCCAGGGGCCCAGGGACTCGGGCCATCTGCTGCTTTCCCAGGCTCATTAGCAGGGAGCAGGTAGTGCAGCAGCCGGGACACGCACCGGCGCCCCTATGGGATGCCGGTGCCACAGTGGCTTAACCCGCTACACCGCAGCGCCGGCCCCTCTATCCCAATCCTTCCGCATCACGAAAACCAAGGCGTGTCTGAGAAGCTGTGCTACACCAGAGGAGACCAGGGAGCCCTGCCGAGCAGGCGTCATGCGGTGTCCTGGGCTGGATCCTGGGAGGGACGAACTGCAAGAGCCGGTGGGTACCTACGGTAGTTTCTTCCTTTTGGCAGATATAGCCCAGCCGCTCCCGGAGCGGGGCTGCAGGAGGGTGTGTGCGGTCGTCACGAAGCAGTTAGAAAGCGGCACACTGCACACGACCGTCACGGTATTCAGGACAAGCCTCACGCCTAAATGTCTTTGTTTTTAGCTCTCTCCCTGTTGGCTGTAATGGTGTTTCCATCATGTAACATAACACAAGATGCATTGTATTAATTTACAGAGCCCAGAGTGTTTCACAAATCCTCCTCCCCTGATTCAGCCGGGGTCTCATGGGGTGATGGAACACCCCCTCACCTGGGTTCTGAAGGATGCCGAGGCGGACGTGGCCAGGGTTAGCCAGAGCAGGGCCAGCGGCCACCGCGGAGCTCGGAGCGCGAGGGGCAGCTCTTGCTGAAGCTGGAGAGGGCGGCGGGGGCGGCGAGGGAACGGGCTGGAGCAGCGGGAGCGAGCGCGGGGCCGGGGTTCCGCCTGGCAGTCACAGCGCACGTTCTGTCAGAGCTCTGGCCATGGGTCCCTGCCGCCCCCCGGGAGACCTGGAGTGAGTGGCTTCTGGCTGCAGCCTGGCCCAGCCCTGGCCAGCACAGGGGAAGCTCTTGTCTTCTGAGAACTGGTTACAAGCAGGAGGAATCGCTTTAACTACCAGAGCCACCCTCACTGCTCTGTGCCTCCTGCCAGTGCCTCACTGAACCTCGAACGCACAGAAACCAGAGCCCAAGAAGGTCAGCCTCCGGCTCTCGGCAGGGCAGGGGGGCGCAGGGAGGGCTGGGGGTGGAAGACGCCTAGGCAGAACACGTGACCTCCGGAGCAGCACCACGGCTTGAACAGGGGACGGCGGGCGGCAGGCACGCGTGGAGCAGGACTGGCACGGGAAGCCAAGGCAGCGGTGGAGTCCCGGGCGGGCGGTGCCTGCCTCTGGCTTGGGCGCGTGTCCAGGAGTGCGGGCCTAGCAGTGCTTAGCTTCGGACGAGAAAAGGGTCGAATCCTCCGGGCGGCGGGGCTGGCCTGGGCTCTAGGGCTCGGCACGTTGGGTGAGATCCGCTGGGAGAGAGCAGTGAGCAGGTGCAGCTGGCAGCAGTCGGGGGGCGGGGCCAGGCGGGCCGGAGCTCGGGCTGGTGCGGAGAAAGGGAGGAACATGTGCGCGTGGAGCTGGGCCAACGCTGAGCCCCCTTAGGAGAAGGGTTACGGAGCCCTCTGCGGTGTGGAGAGGGGGCAGCAGCCACGGGGACCGAAGTCGGAGAACCAGGCAGGGTCGGAGCTACAGGTGCAGGGGCTGTGGGAACTGCTGTCCCTGCGTGCGGAAAAGCAGCATCCACACCTCCCAGCAAGAACGCGGCTTCCGTTCTAGTGGATCACGTAAAGGCACGCGCAGGGCCGCGCAGGTCAGTGCTGTCCGGGCTGCTCCGGGGTGATGGGGCACCCAGCCTAGTCAGACCCCACGGAGCCACGCCAGCCCACTCCCTTCTGCCTGTGAACCGCATCTCCTCAGACACTTGGCAAAGAATTCTTCAACTCTGCCAGATGCTGGGCTGGCTCCGCCCATGGGCAGTTAGCAACCTGGATGAAAGTGCTCACGAGCACGGTTAGACTCAGATTTTAGAAGAAACTAAGCCGCCAACACGGGGTGCCCGCTTCTCCCCCAGAGCCCTGGCCCGAGTCCCGCTGCTCTGCCTCCAATCCAGCTTCCTGCTAGTTTGCCTAGGAAGGCAGCAGATGGCGGCTCCTGCACCCACGTGGGAGACCTGGAGGGAGTTCCAGGCCCTGGCTTCTGCCTTGTCCAGCCTGGCTGTGGTGGCCACTTGGGGATGGAAGGATCTCCGTCTTCTCTCGTCTCCCCCTGCCAACCCCCACCCCAGGTCGCTCTGGCTTTCCAGGTTAAAATAAGCAGCTTCTAAATAGTGGCTTAAAACATTTAAGTCTTTCTCATAATAATGTATTTTAAAAATTGTCGGGCCGGTGCCGCAGCTCACTAGGCTAATGCTCCGCCTTGCAGCGCCGGCACACCGGGTTCTAGTCCCGGTCGGGGCGCCGGATTCTGTCCCGGTTGCCCCTCTTCCAGGCCAGCCCTCTGCTGTGGCCAGGGAGTGCAGTGGAGGATGGCCCAAGTGCTTGGGCCCTGCACCCCATGGGAGACCAGGAGAAGCACCTGGCTCCTGTCGCGCAGGCCGCAGCGGCCATTCGAGGGTGAACCAAAGGAAGACCTTTCTCTCTCTCTCTCACTGTCCACTCTGCCTATCAAAAAATAAAAAAAAAATTTTAAATTGTCAGTCATAAACACACTGTTTAGGTGTTCTACATATTTAAAGAAACACCAAAACCTGTCAGCCTTGTCATTTGGAAGTCATTGCCAAGGTAACAAGGCACGCTGGCAAGCTGAGGATTTGTACCCGTGGTACTGTCCTTTCACTGTAAGACCACAGGGCAAGAGGACAGCAGGCGACCCCTTCAGTCCCACAGCTGCGCCCTTTTCCTGGTGCTTGAACTGCACAGCACATCCTTCCCAAGTCCTCCTACGTGGCCTCTGCACACGAGGTTGGAACGGACGGTCCGGGTCCGAGCCTACAGCGCTCCGGCACCACCCGAGCTGTGAATGCACAGCGCTGCTCTCCCGGAAGTCATCTTCTAGTCGCTGCTTTTGCAGAAGACACTTAAATGACGGTGCTGGCTATTTATTTGAAAGGCAGAGAGCGTGAACGAGCGAGGATGAGAATCTCCTATCACTCTCCAAGCGACCAGAACAGCTAAGGCCAGGGGCCGCTCAGTCCAGGTCTCCCACGTGGGTTGCAGGGACTTAATGGCTGTCTCCCAGGGTGCGCATTAGCAGGAAGCTGGAATCAGAAACGGGGCTGCTACTCTGCCGCTGTGCCACAGGCCCACCCTTTTTTAATTTTTAAAAAGTGAGGTAGAGCCCTTAGAGGAAAAGGATTAAATCAGAGGCATAGGCAATAGTGGTAGTATACAAAATGCAGGTTAGAATTTTTTTAAAGGAGACAGCCCTGTCAGCTGTCACAGAAATTTTACAACAGCCAGAAAAGCCATCTGTTGCGATGGATACCACATCTAGCCTGTGAAGGCATTTCTGCTTGACTTGACCACTCAGAAGAGGGCAGGATCCATCACAAGGAAATTTCGTTTTGAAATGAAAATGCGTTGAGAGGTCAACCTGCAAAACCTCTCGTGTGTGCTTCTAATGCTCTCCATCTGCACAGCCACCAACTGGTTCAGGCACCTCCAGAGCCCACCCAGCATCCCCCCACCACACACACACCCGGGCCGGGTCTCGCATTCCCTCCCTCGGCGAGTCCCTCTGGTCCCCGGGCTCCCTTGCCTTCCCGCGTCTTTCACACCGCTGCTCCTCTGCCCAGCAAGCCTCCAGCCGCGTCCCGCCTCCGCGTCTGAACTTGAGCGAGCGCCATCTGCTCTGACAGCCTCGACATCTCACTGGGTTTCCGTCTAGTCTCCCGTGTTTGAACATTTCTGCCCCTGCAAGCGCTGCGATGCCAGGGATCATGGCCCTCTGTGGAACGTCCTTTTAGGTGGGCAATAAATGTGCTGACCGTGTGGTCAAGTTCCAGGCAGCCAGTACACCTGACCCACTGGCAACGTCGGGCCGGGGTGCTGGGGGGTGCACCCAGCTCTCGCCACTGCTCCCTGTCTTCACCACTAGGATTTACCGCAAGGGCCTCAACAAGGAGCCATCCGCCCCCCATTTCTGGAGTGACAGGTACTTGGCCCTCAGTGTCTCCTCCTACACACCTCCCACTTCCGAGACCCGCAGCAGGTGTGGAGGAAAGACCAGGGCTAGAATGAGCTTCCTGGCCTCAACAGGGCAGTGAGCGCCTGGTGTCCGCGCAGCTCCGAGTGCACGGTGGCCCTGCCTGGCGCGGGGGTCTCTCCTGGGTCTGATCTCCGCCGGCGCCAGCCAGCCCTGACCGAGGCCGCACGCTCACCCGCTGGGAGCGCTTCGCGGGAACACTGTGAGAGTTCTTTTTTCAGCTGATGGCTACCCTGGCAATTGCTCAATGCAACGTAAAAGCTGTTTGTTTAGGGCTTCATGGAGTGAGGAGCTGCAGGGGGATTCCGGGCGGTTTCAATTCTTAGCGCCCTTTAAATTGAGTATCTTCCATATATTCAATATAATGAAAATAAAACCTTCCTCACACAGAGTTAAGTCTGGAAAACAGCCTCAAAAAGAGGAGACTAAATTCAGCAATTAAACACAGACGGGTCCGAGGAGGACGCCATCTGGTCCTGGCAAACTCCAGAAACAACTTCCCCCTCGACCCAGCCCAGAGGGGGCGCCAGGGAGGCGGAGCCGCTTGGCGGTCCACTGGGAGGTTCTGGAAGAACTCCGGACCCAGCAGGGAGAGGGGCCAACGAGAGACACTCGAGGCGGCTTTTATAGATGTAAAATATTTTATTTGTAAATGGTGATCTTCTAAATCTGTGTCCACAAATTCCAAAACCCATAACACTCTGTATACTTCAAAAAATTCAATTTTTGCCAACATTAGATACTATTATACAGAACAGAAAACAACAAAAACCCGGTAGGACAAATACTGGTAGGATGTCAGAGTATTGTACAAGAGAAGAAAAATATTCAAGAAACAAATTTCATACAGCTATTTATCAAGAGAAAAATATATACAATTGATTTATTCTGTAAGATAAAAATACATCATGCCATATACATTACGAGTTCAGAACTGCATCACTGTGCACTGTGCACACAGAAACTTCATCTCACACTCGGCCTGTGAAGGGTCAGTACCAGAATTTTAAGTACAAAATAAAAACCTAACCTGGTTCAAAATGCTGATTAAGTTTCTACAAGCAAACACAAAACAGTGTGTCTCTTTTATTAAAGAAATGTAAACAAACAGTTCATACAAACACATTGTAAAATTACATCTTCCAGAAACCCTACTGCCCGCTGGCACAATCACATCGCTCGCCCGCTCGCGCTCTCGGTTTTTTTTTTTTTTTCCTTTTTTCAAATTTTTGTGTTAAATAGAAGGCTAAAGAGTTAGGTTTAAGTTCCTGCTACATGATTCTAGGATGTTTACATGATTCTTTGTGGTCTGAAACAAAGTTCTAATCAAAACTACGTCTGCTGAAGGAAAAATTCAGCCTCCATGGGGTGTGTCTGTAAGCAGTTATTCACAGTTATCACAAATTGTAAGCACAAAAAACCTGACTGAGGAAGTAGGGATGCAACAATATAATATGAAAAAATTAGTTTAAATTACCAAAACAGCTATAAAAATTGTAATCATAGCATACACTCTGCTTTGTCAGAAGTGAGGTGTATAAAACAATTAAGTCCCAATAGACTCTAGTTTCCAAAAAACCCCAAACACTCTAGGTTGAAATTTTGGTTATTACATAATGATAATGGCATATTTAATAACAAAAAATTATATTGTGACATCCCTAAGAACATTTTATAAGCACCCGAGCTGCTGCAGAGCCTGGTAGCATTTGGTCAATAACTATTTTTATACTGTATTTTTTTCTCAAAATATTTACATATTTGTACAAAGTAACAGGGTTTGTTAGTTCTGCAGGTAACAGCAGCAGCTTGGCTTTCTTCTAACTTTTATTTAAAAATAGCTTCATTCACTTATTCAATAATAAATACAAAAAGTTTCTCTTATTTTACAGAAATCAAAAACTACAATAAACTGACTCATGGAATCAAGTATTTAAGTGTATTTTAGTGCAAGTTATTATCCCTTAGCTCTATCCCTAAGGAAGTCATTTCAGTACATTCCTTGTTCAGTGGTGTCTACTTTACTTAAACACATTTCTAAGTCAGAGGGCCTGCCCCTTCTCCACAGGCCGTGGCCAGCACTCCGGACACCCCCTTTCGCTGGTGATTTCAGTCTTACATTCATAGGAAGGCCCTGCCCTGGGGCGGGGCAGCCATCGGCTCTGTGCCCCAGTAAAATTCTCCTCAGTGAGATTAACAAAACAAAACCAAACCCACCCACAAGGAAAAAAAAAAACAACAACAACAACAAAAGAAAAGAAAAGAAAAAAGAAAGAAAAGAAATAGAAAACAAGCGAAAGTGCTGGACCATTGTGTATCCGTTCGCCCTCAGCATCTGCAGGACTCCCGGTCAGCTCTCCAAGTGCTTCCTTAACCTGAAGGGCCGAAGCAGCCAGGACTCCCAGAGGCTGTTCTTCAAAAAGTCACAAAACAGAAAACAAAGCATCCTGTCTGCAGATCCCAATGGTGTGTAGAATCGCCGCTTCCCAGGGACAAGCCGCCTGCTGAGATGGCAAGGAATGCGTTCAGTTCATCCACTTCCGGCAGTTCACCGCTCCGCAGTGACACGGAATCTTGTGCTGGTCGTCTTCAAAGTCAAACTTGTAGTCATAGCAGAGCTGCCCGCGGCAAAGACAGAGCGTGAGAGGCGGGGAGAGGAGGACCAGCCCCTCCTACTTCAGACCCAGCACACAGAATGCTGCCAATCTCTGCAGGAGGCCCACGGGTGCGGGGAGGGGCCTCAAGTAGCAGTAAGGAAGCTAACTTTTCCAAAGAAGTGCGAGAGGAGGTATTTTCAGGCTCCGTGTCTCCTGGGCTGGAGAAAGCTGCTAGGACTTCTCACACTGCTGTCCCAGCAGGTGCACGGGCGCGTTGCGGGGACAGAGCCCCCAGCAAGCCCCCACCTCCCCTGGCTTGCTGAGTCGGACATGCATGTTTGGGCAGATAGAGTGGCGCCCCCAGCTAGCACTGTTTTTCCTCTTTCATTGGGTATTTAGGGACTGCCAAATTATTCTCAACATCTCAGAGCAACCCTGCTCTCAAGGTGGCTGGGAGTCTGGACGATTTGCATGGTCCAAGCCCTCCCCTGCCCCCCGCCCCCAAGCTGTCCCTGAGAAAGGTGACCTGCAGAATGACGGAGTCTTTTCTAATTTAACACTCTAGGACAGAGCTTGGAGAGACTTTGCACACAGAAGGGAAAGAAGACATTTACTGAGAATACTATTCCCAGCACTGACGCTACTGCCTTCCATTAGGTATCTGCTGGGTTCCTGCAGGAGCTTTGCAAGGAACTTTTCTATTTTATAGAAAACAAAACAGAGGCTGAAGGAGGTTAAATGACTCACTCCAGAATACTCAAGGAAGAGGAGAGCCCAGGGGCCTGGGATCAGCCCCATCTGTCTTAATGCCCAGAGCGCCCCCTGCTGGTTACTGGCGCCATGCTGCGCTCTCTCATTGGGTAGTTACTGGGACATGTGCAATGAATGGACCTAAGTCTGGTCAGACCCCAATTCTGGACTGAAGAAAAGAGATTCCAAAAAGGTGACCAAAAATACAGGTGCAACCCCACAGCTATGTTCATGAAGGGCTGGGGGCTCCAACAGTCAAGATACTCGGGCTCCGCGCTCCCCAGACAGGATGTCTCCTCCAGAAAGCACCGTGGCTCATCGGGTGCTTTCCCACAGACACCAGCTCCAGAAGGAGGGTGACTCGCCCAGGTGCAATCACATATATGAAAGACAAAATCGGGAAACTGACATGCGTAATTAAGGCTGATAATAATTAACAGGTGACATGCTGAACCAAAGTCGTCTTGTGAGACCAAAGAGACGAATATCAAGTTCAGCACTCAGCCTTTGGAAGACAAAAGCAAAAACAAAACTAGCAAAAATTCTAAACTGTGAAAACCTACTGGTGTGAGGAATGAGTAAGCTTGTATTGTCAGTGAGCCTATGTGCAGACTGGAGCCACAGCGCTCCCCACACTTGTGACCTTTGGCCCTTCCAGTGACAGCAACTGGTTCCGTTCCCACAGGCCAGAAGGGGCAGTGACTCCGTGTTCGTCAAACAGCTCAACGACAGCCATGACCTCTAAAAACAAGTATGCTGCCAACTTGCAGCTGGGCGCGGGAATAAAGAAAGGTCTCGGGACACCAGAACTGACGCCGTGCGAGGGGCACGGGCGTGCTGACCTGTGGAAGAGGAAGGCTGACAGTCAGCACCGTCAGAGCTGCCACGTGGAAAGAGGTAAAGGGGGGTAGGGAGCAAAACCTGCCCCACCAAGAGGAGCCCCGTGTCATCCAGGAAACTAGACCTGGAACAATCCAGAACGAGAGCAGAGTCGCCAGTGTGAAGGCGTGGCTGCTTCACGGAGGCCACGTGAGACACCCAGGTCTTCACGCTCTTACCTCTTCTCCTTTTTGGATTCTCCGATTGGAGCTGATGATAATTTTGTGTCCTCTCTCAAAGGTCACCACTTCAGCCACACAATTAGGCGCACATGAATGGTTGATGTATCTGAAAGCCATGTCAGGAAACTATTGTAAACAACTAGAAGATGCTTTAAAAGCCTTGAAAAAACTCCTGTTAATTACATTTGTACTTGTCCATTACAAATAGAACACGTATGAACAGAAATTTTAAATACAAATTCTCCTTTTCAAGATTTATTTTTATTTGAAAGGCAGAGTTATAGCAAGGGAGGGACAGGGACTCTCTCTCTCTCTCCCTCCCTCCCTCTCTCCCTCTCCCTCTCTCTCTCTCACACACATACACACACACACACACACACACACACAGTCTTCCATCTGCTGGTTCACCCTCCAAATGGCTGCAACAGCCAAGCTGGGCCAGACTGAAACCAGAAGCCCAGAGCTTCTTCCGGTTCTCCCACATGGGTGCAGAGACCCAAGCACTTGGGCTCTCGTCCACTGCTTTCCCATGCAAATTAGCAGGGAGCAGGATCGGAAGTGGAGCAGCCAAGTCTTGAACTGGCACCCCCATATGAGATGCCAGTGTCGCAGGCAGCGGCTTTAGCCACTGAGCTACAAAGCCAGCCCCAATAACAATTCTTGAAACTTGTTTGCTGTGAATCTTTCTTCACTGCGAGGTTACAGTAAGAGCACTGCTCCTCTGCTGCGATCCTCTCTGCACTAGCATGGGCCGACCAAGCAGAGCTGTTTATCAGACTGCTTTCTGCCTTACCTTGCAGGCCCTCCTGTGAGCGTTGCATCAATCACATGGTCATTATCCATGCGGAACATGTACACGCCGCGATTCTAGAGAGAAGGAGGCAGTCATGAGTGCATCCAAATAGCTTCAAGCGGACACTGAGTTGCCATGAGCTGAATGCCCCGATGACACTTGCTTGGACACTCTACCAACCAGCCAGATGCCATTTACGTGGGACACACGGAAAGCACTGAATCGGGCTGTCCGAGAAGCCAGGCCCATCAGTTCAGTTACAGCTATGCAAACAAAGCACCGGTTTAAAGAGACTACACTGATGAAACAGACAAGAGAAAAATGGAAGAAGGACAGAAACGACTACTGTTCACAAGCGAACACGGCACGGCAGCTTTGGCCTGCCTGCCAGGCTGCTCAGACGGCACAGGGACAGGGACGGAGTGTGGTCAGGGTCGCACATACCTGTGACTCATAAAGCTTCTCTTTCCTGTTGGCCACTTCATTTCGAATGATAGTCCCTATATACTCAATGACCATAGTGTGCTTCTCAATGTCTCTAGCAGCATACAGGCCCAGCCCCTGTGAACACAAAGCACGCACATGGCCTTCAATCCATGTGACAGCACATCTGCATTCTACTTTTCACACGAGGATGTTACTGTTGGGTCTTTACAAAAGTCATACTTAAGGTTTCACATAAACTCAAATGAACTTCACATTCTTTCCTGAAATTTAAAAATTTAACAATCTTTTTTAAACTTCACATGAGGGAATTACTTTTTTTTTTTTTTTTTTAATTTGAGAGGTAGAGTTCAGAGGAGAGAGAATGGAGAAAAGTCTTCCGTCTGCTTGTTCACTCCCCAAATGGCCACAACAACAGGTGCTATGCCGATCCTAAGCCAGGAGTCAGGAGCTTCTTCCAAGTCTCCCACATGGGTGAGGGGTCCAATGACTTGGCCGGCTTCTGCTGCCTTCTCAGGCCATTAGCGGGGAGCTGGATCAGAAGTGGAGCAGCCAGGACATGAACCAACGCCACAGAGCCGGCCCCAAAGTTTGACAACCATACCATTTCACACCACACCACAATTCCCTTGTTCCTGTGTCTTCTTTCATAGTGCATTCTCAGGGTATATCTATGCTACAGCTTGAATGTGTTCTCAAAGTTCGGGTGCTGGAAACTTAATCCCCCAAATGCAACAGTGTTGGGAGGCGGGATCTTTAAAAGAGGTGCCGAGGTCCGGGGAGCTACGCCCTCGTGAATGGATTAATGCCATTATCCCATTTCGTGCCAGTGGATTACCAAAGGGGTGGGTTCCTGAAAAAAGGATGACTTGGCCTCCTTCCCCTCCCTTGCTTTTCTGCCTTCCACATGGGACAGGACAGCCAAGAAGGCCCTCACCAAATGTGCGCCCTCAATCTTGGGACTCTCTAGTCTCCAGAATAGTGAGTCCCATTTGACTGTTTATAAATTGCTGTCTGTGGTATTCTGTTATAGCAACAAAAATAGACTAAAACAGTCTACAGAGTGATACTGTTGATTGTATGTCCAATTTTTCTATTACGCTATCTTTATCTTTCAAGTAACATCCTACTGAGTTCCTAAAGATTAATACTTCAGCTAATGACTTGTAGTATTTATTATTCTACTAGCATAATGATACACTTAACATAAACAGAAACAGAGCTTACTATGAAGAATTACTAATATTGTAAACACTTTCAGATTGGGCTCCAAAGCTTCATGGGAGCCAAGACAACGGAAGAAACAAGGAAGTTACTACTTTGCTCTAATTATCAGGAAAACTGTAAACAAATGAGGGTCTTGGGCAAAGCAAACCATTTTTTCTCCTAATACACAGTTATGAGCCCGAGCAAGGAATGTGTAGAAATTTTAACTGGCTAAAACATCGAAACGGGGGCCAGCGCGGAGATGCAGCCTCCACCTGCAACTCCAGCATCCCTCATGGGCGCCGGGTTGAGTCCCAAGTCCCGGCTGCTCCACTTCCAATCCAGCGCCCTGCCGTTGCTCCTGGGAAAGCAGTGCAGGAGGGCCCACATCCTTGGAGACGCAGTAGAAGCCCCTGGCTCCAAACTGGGACAGCCCCAGCTGTCGCAGCCATCTGGGGAGTGAACCAGCAGATGTTGAAACCTGTCTTTCACTCAGTAGCTCACGCTACTGTCTTAAAAAATAAAATTTGTACAAGGAAAAAAGTTAAAGACACTATGGATAAGATGGCACTTCAAAATGTTCATGGGAAACTGAATGCAAAGGTTATGTTGTGGGACAAGCACTGCGCACAGTGGGCTAAGCTGCCACCTAGAACACCAGTGTCCCACTCAAGAGTGCCAGTTTGAGTCTCAGCTTCGCCACTCCCAAGCCAGCTCCTTGCTAATGCACCTGGGAAAGCAACAGCAAATGGTGGGCCCCTGTCCAAAATAAAACAGTAGTGGAATGGAAGAAGACATGGTCATTAAAGAGAATGAAACTGAGCTACTTCACTCGTCTAGGAGTGCTGGTATTAGTGAGAAAAGAAAGATGGAGAAAAGTATATGCACCATTATTCACTCCATTTATAAAATATGACCTACCTAGGAGATGGACGTAGAGAGGCCGGCAGATCAGGAGGGAAAAAGAGACAACAAAAAACCCACCGAGAACTCTCAAAAATGTTTCAGGGGGCCGGCACTCTGGCATAGCAGGTAAAGCCGCTGCCTGCAGTGCTGGCATCCCATATGTGCACCGGTTCAAGTCCCGGCTACTCCACTTCCGATCCAGCTCTATGCTATGGCCTGGGAAAGCAGAAGGTGGCCCAAGTTCTCTCTCTCTCTTTGTAACCTTGCCTTTCAAATAATAAATCTTTTAAAAAATTGTTTCAGGTTAAAGATGGCAAGCTGAACACACATAGTCAGGCTCCCACCAAAATCACATTAAGGAATCAGAAACAAAAATGGGAACAAGAATGATTTAACTATCTCAAAACATTTAAATTGGAGACTACAGCTTAAAGGAGAAAGAGGGAGCATTAAATTGCTCGCAGAACCAGAGATAACAGGTAGACAGGAAGGAGAGATGAGGTATTCCTAGTGGGAAAATAAGATATCAAACAAAAGATCAAAACTAGAAAGGGTTCTTAGGTGATTTTCCTTAACGCATAAGAAAGACGAGCCGAGAAGTGGAGCAGTCCCAGGACAGAGATGGGAGGAACAGTGCTCAGAGAAGGCAGATACTCTGGCGCGCATTAGGTCACAGGGGGCTCCCCAGAGCTGGACTCAATAAGGCTGGGCGGGAGGCCCTGAATCTGCAAGCCTTAATATTCCCAGGTGAGGCTACTCCTGCTAGGCTAGGGTCCACACTGGGACGTCCCAGTTCTCAGGGTCCAGAATTTGCTTATGGGAGCAAATAGGCATAAAACAGGAGGAACTTGTGAAAGAACAAACATAAAACACAATTTCCCAGACTGAAAGTGGCTCATCAAGTGAGGAAACCAGTAACTACAAAGACCTTAACTTAGGTCTATTTTTAAGAAATACCCAAGTATCAAAAATAGAAGATCCTAAACACTTCTAGTGAAGAAGTAAAAGGTTTGGAGCCAGCACTGTGGCACAGTGGGTTAAGCTGCCACCTGCAAAACTGGCATCGCATATGGACACCGTTTGGAGTCCCGGTTCCTCCACATTCGATCCAGCTCCCTGCTGGTGTGCTGGGGAAAAGCAGCAGAAGACAGCCCAAGTGTCTGGGCCCTTGCCACACATGTGGGAGACCTGGAGGAAGCTCCTGGCTTCTGGTTTCAGCCTGGCCCAGCCCTGGCTGTTGTGGACATCTGGAAAGTGAACCAGCAGATGGAAGGGATGGAAGATCTGTCTCTCCCTCTGATTTTCAAATGAAAGAAAGAAAGAAAGAGAAAAGAAAAAGGTTTCGAGAATCTGCAAATGAATGACTCAGCAATGAAACTTTGACCCAATCTATACTTTGAAGCAATTATACTAGCTTCTGAAAAGCAACTGGAGGGAAGGAGATTGCCAGGTCTTCAATGATTACATAGACAATGAGATATACGTTAAAAAGGGAGTGGGAGCCTAATACTGGATTTTAGAGAGCCTTTGGGAGGAAGAAAGAATCGGTTGGCATTGTGGCACAGCAGGTAAATCTGCTGCCTACAATGCTGGCATCCTATCATGGGTGCTGATTAGTGTCCTGGCTGCTCCACTTTCTATCCAGCTCCCCAATAGCCTGGGAAAGGAAGTGAAAAATGGCCCGAGCTTGGGACCCTGCTCCCCATGTGGGAGACCCAGTTGAAGCTCCTGGCTCCCGGCTTCAGCCTGACACAGCCCTGGTTGTTACGGTCATCTGGGAGGTAAATCGGGGGATAGAAGGTCGGTTTCTCTCTTTCTCTCTCTAACTCTGATTTTCAAATAAACAAATCTTTAAAAGACAAACAAAAAAAAATCAACAGCACATGATGATGGTTTGGATCTAGGGGTTTTAACATGAGAACAATGAGAATAATAGCGCTATCATTCAGGAATGCAAGAAAACCTTGAGGATGATCAGGCTCAAAGACTGGAGAAGTCCGACGAAATGAGAGTATTATAATTCCATTCCGGGACATCCAAGGAGAGATGCCGAGTGCCGAATACACACTTGGTTATTCAGGTTCCAGCTCAGCCCGTATGGACTGTCGATGTAAATTTAATTTCTTAGTCTAAGGATGCCTTACTTGATGATATTCTACAGTCTATCAAAACTATGTAATGATTTTATGAAAAGTTAGCTTCTAAAATGTATGGAAGTTTCCAAAATTGGGGTACTTTTTTTTTTTTTTTTTGACAGGTAGAGTTATAGACAGAGAGACAGACAGAAAGGTTTTCCTTCCATTGGTTCACTCCCCTAATGGCCACTATGGCCGGCGCCGCACCAATCCGAAGCCAGGAGCCGGGTGCTTCCTCCAGGTCTCCCATGCAGGTGCAGGGGCCCAAGGACTTGGGCCATCTCCCACTGCTTTCCCAGGCCATAGCAGAGAGCTGGATCAGAAGTGGAGCAGCCAGGATGTGAATGGGTACCATACAGGATGCCAGCACTGCAGGTGGTGGCTTTATGCACTATGCCACAGTGCTAGCCCCTGGACTTTTTTTTTTTTTTTTTTGACAGGCAGAGTGGACAGAGAGACAGAGAGAAAGGTCTTCCTTTTCCATTGGTTCACTCCCCACTGGCTGCTGCAGCTGGCGCACCGCGCTGATTCGAAGCCAGGAGCCAGGTGCCTCTCCTGGTCTTCTATGAGGGTGCAGGGACCTTGCACTTGGGCCATCCTCCGCTGCCCTCCTGAGCCACAGCAGAGAGCTGGACTGGAAGATTGGGATACTTTTTGAAAATATTTTTATTTGGGGCCTGCACTGTGACACAGCAGGTTAAGCCATTGCCTGCAGTTCCAGCAACCCATAAGGGTGCCAGCTGGAGTCCTGACTACCAAACTTCCAATCCAGCTCCCTGCTAATGTGGCTGGGAAAGCAGCACAGGATGGCCCAGGCACTTGGGCAGCCTGTGCATCCATGCAGGAGACCTGGATGAAGCTCCTGGCTTACATGTGGCCATTTGAGGAGTGAACCAGTAGATGGAAGCTCGCTTGCTCCCTTTCTAAGACTGCCTTTTAAATAAATAGTAAATCTTAAACAAAAAAAAGATTTTTATTTGTACTTTTCCCAGGTGCTTGAAACAATTTCCCTGAACTCTCCACAAATAGTGAGTGAAGGTGCAATGCTAGCACCTTCCCAAGAGTGCTCATCAAGACTGAAAGATGTAGATCCCCAAGGCCTCATTTCCATCTGGGAGCAACAGAGCACCGTGCTCCGAGAGTAAGCGGCTCCACTGCTAACGCCCAAACTGACGAGACGTGACAGCGCCCTGAAGAGGGCTGCCACCCCTGCAGCACGGGGGATCCTCTCTCACGTACGGGATCTGGGAACCAGCATGTTCGGATTTCTAGCTCTCTCTCTCAGCTTCCCTACCACCACGCGCTTCTTCACCTGAATCCGAGAGCGGGCCAGATACACGTTGGACTTCCACTCGGTCTTCATTTTCCGGTACTGCGACGACTTGGAGTGAACAAACTGCTTGCTGTAGGGCGCGCTCAGCTCCCCCGTGACGGTGCTCTGGAACGACTTCGAGGCGCTGGTGCTGTTCAGCGTGTGCGGCCTGCGGCGACGGTGCAGGACAGAGAGAAAGGAGAACTGGAGACACCTCTGACTGCCGCGCACGGCCGCGCCAGTGCACATCCTTCCCACAGAAGCACACGCGAAAGCTGCCCCGCAGAGACACACGGCGCTCTCTGAGGTGGTCAGGCACATACACAGCCAGAGACGGCAGGGTTTGTAAGCAGCGGACAAGTCAAGCACAAAGAACACTAATACGCCTAGAAACCCTGGGCTGTACTATGTGAAGTTAAAACAAAATACCTTAACACAAACCTCTTGACATGCGCACTCATTTTAGGTTCGGAACGGGCACAACCTGTGGGGTTAACGGCAAGCGGGAGCTCCATGAGCGGATTTCGGCCGTATCGGAAGGTGTAGTTTTCACACGCCTCAACCCCAGGGAGCTGAAAGGAGGCAAAAAGGCAGAAGGTAACCTTTCCATCAGGACCACAGAGAACCTCCAGCTTGCCAAGAGGATTAACAAGACCTGTAAATGCTTCCCCTGGCATCAAGATGTTCTTTTCTGTTAGTCAACATGATCAGCCTACACTCACATCTATTTAACAGTATATGAATTCAGTTTCAAACCATAACTTAGTAAACCTGGGAAATGTCCTTGGAGAAACAGGTTAACCCAACGTATATGCTTGTGTGCTTTTAGGATCTGAGGATTCCAACATTCACAAGCATGAGTGTGGTGATTTTCACTTGGATTAATGCCAATTAAAAATATTTCCTTAGTTTCATTTTATTTGAAGGGTACAGAGATAGAGCCACAGGCATAGACGGAGAGACCTTCGATCTGCTGGTTTACTGCCCAGATGCTGGCAACAGCCAGGAGACTGGAATTCAATCAGGATCACCCACGTGGTGAAGTACTCCGGGTGTCACTTGCTATCTCCTGGGTCTGCAAAAGCAGTAAGTCGGATCTGACGCAGAGTAGCCAGGTCACACCAGGCACTCTGCTACGGGGTGCAGATGCCCCAAGTGACAATTTAACTGCTGTGTGAACTATGGGTCTAAGCCAGTTTATATCTCTGAACAGAATATAAAAAAATCGAGAACAGTCTTAAATAATTTCTTACTCCTTTCAACTGGATATAACATGATGAGGTTATTGGTCATATCCTAGGATGTGTCGAATCCTAGGAGCATAGGTAGTCCTAATAAAGTTTAATTGTAAAATGATTTGTATGTTACAAGTCTTTTCTATGAAATTTATTTCTCTATACTCATAAATATAAGACACATGTCATTTAGGTACACCTATTCCAAAGGAAGTAACTGGCCTAATTATTCAGTGGCTCTGGGCATCTCCTCTGCCTACCCAAAGAAAATACATCAAGTTTTTTGTTAAAACTATGCCTTATACATGCAAATTTTCCAGAAATATCATGTAGGTATGTTTCAGTTACAAGAACTGTCAAACATGCTTGTCTTGCCAACAAGGGTTGCTGCCATCTCCTGTTCTGGGCACTGTCCCTAGGAAGAACCCAGCAGTGGTCAGCAAGTGGGTGGACGAGCACTCTGATGTGCACGTGAACTTTGGAAGCCAACTTAGAATCATTCCTCGCCCAGCGTAACGAGGACAGGACGCACTGCTGGTGTCCTTCCCTCTGCCTTTTCAGCCCTGAAAAGAACCTGACATTCACTGAATGAACATTTTTTTTTTTTTTTACAGGCAGAGTGGATAGTGAGAGAGAGAGACAGAGAGAAAGGTCTTCCTTTGCCGTTGGTTCACCCTCCAATGGCCGCCGCAGCCGGTGTGCTGCGGCCGGTGCATCGCGCTGATCCGAAGCCAGGAGCCAGGTGCTTCTCCTGGTTTCCCATGGGGTGCAGGGCCCAAGGACTTGGGCCATCCTCCACTGCACTCCCTGGCCACAGCAGAGAGCTGGCCTGGAAGAGGGGCAACCGGGACAGAATCCGGCGCCCCGACCGGGACTAGAACCCGGTGTGCCGGCGCCGCAAGGCAGAGGATTAGCCTAGTGAGCCACGGCGCCGGCCTACTGAGTGAACATTGACATGTACTGAAGTCTCTTTATTAATGACCAATACCTTATTTTCCTTAAGAGAAACAAGGTTTAGTCCGTAGGCAAAGGCATTTTCTGAAAAGTACCATACTACAGCAGGTGTTAAAGTTGTCACATGGAATTAGAAAAGCAAATCCAACTTCAGATCTTAATCAAGACACTCACTGATTCAGCTATCCGTGCCACTGCTGAGACGGTTAAGCCAAACAGATCTTCTCCTTTTAAATATGCTGGAAAAAGTTGGAGCATTTCAGATTTTTTTCTTACACATGCCACGGGCTCCAAAATTTTATCCCAAACACCTACATAAAGACAAAAAAAATTTTTTATGATAAACTTGTACTAAGTTACACAAAAAAAAAAACCAGGATACAGTACAAGAACAAGCAAAATGAATAACCACTCAAATATTAATTCCCAAAAAAAAACCCAATGTGTAATAATCTAACAAATCTGCTTATTAAATCATAGTTCTTATATATATATATATATGAATTATTTATTATTTATTTGAGAGACAGGAAGAGACAGAGCTCCCATTTGCTGATTTACTCCCACAATGCCTACAACAGCCAGGGCTGAACCAGGCATTCAATCCAGGTCTCCCACATGGTGGGCAGGAACCCAAATACTGTAGCCATCACCTGCTGCCTCCAAAAGTACACATCAGCAAGAAGCCAGAACTGGGAGCAAAGCTAGGACACAAACCCAGGGGCTCCAATATGGGATTTGGGTATCCTAACACCAAACACCTGTCCCTAACAGAGAACTACTGACACACAACACTCATTAGGCTAACATCAGCTCTGCAGAGCACAGAACTGGCGGAGCGTACCTTTAGGTGAGGTGTCACTTAGGACTAGATCTTCATGGCCTTGCTCCACAATCCTGATGACAAACACAGGGCGCCCGTCTTTCTCTTCAATGGAGCACAGGTAGCGGCATCGCCGGTTGGCATAGCGTGTGCTCCAGTACAGGCGGCTAGCTTCATAGCCCACAGGGAAGAGTGCTTTAGCAGAATGGAATGCTTGCATCTGTTGGGGAAGCAGCTGGCCGATTGTATGGAAAATGAGGCTTCCAACACGGAAGGTGTGCTCACGTTCCCCTCGCTGCACAATGCTAGCAATCTGCCGCACCTCATCGCGTTGAACGTAGACCCTCCTGAAGACTGCAAAATAACTTAATTCTTGCTCATGAATTCCCTTTGGTTTGTGCATGGGGCAAAGCATAGTTTTGTCCTTAAAAAACATGCATTGTGCTTTAATGGCGCAAGTAAAGTGATAAATGTTGGTGCATCGAAATCTGTGACATCCGCTGGTGGCACCCGTCTTATGACAGAAGACACATTTCATTTGAAGACCTCTCCTCAGCGCTAGCTCCACGTTTATTAAGGCACCAGCCTGAGTCTCATAGACCTCCGTGGACCACAGAGCACAATTCAAGTGGACCCATAGATCCAAATCAAGGTTGAGCAGCCTTGCTGGTCCATCTGTCAACCCATCACCTTCTTCATGACAGAAGCAACACTTCCGATAGTCTTTAGGCACAGGATCAGGCTTCAGGGAAGTGCCCAATTTCTTCAGAAATTCATCGATTTCTTCCTCACACGGAGGTTTAAATGTCCCCTTGGGAATTACAATATGAATGCTCCATTTCTTCCATTTCATGCCCCTCCATTTTTTATTTAATGGCCTACAATCTTCAAATCCACCATGGACAGTTCTTAGACGCGGTTTTAACTTCACTGTTACCTTAAGCTCATCTGGCTTGGCCTCTACTTTGGCTGCTTCAAAGGCAGGAGGGAACATGATGGGAGGTGATGCAGGGGGAGAAGCTCTGTCTTGCAGCTGTGGGAGACAATGCACATCTAAAGTGGAGATGTTGTTACTGTACTGATGAAATGCTTTGGAAGGTGTTTCTCTCATAGGTGACTGTGGCAATGAAGGAATGGCTTCCTGGGCAATAAAAAGAAATCATCAACAAGAAGAGTAACTCAGAAGCCCTATGAACAGGTTTTCTTTCTTTTGTTTTCTGTTTTAAAGAATTATTTATTTGAAAGGCAGAGTTACAGAAAGGCAGAGGCAGAGGCAGAGGCAGACAGAGAGAGGTCTTCCATCCACTGGTTCACTCCCCAAATGGCCGCAACGGCGGGAGTTGGGCCAATCTGAAGCCAGGAGCAAGGAACCTCTTCCAGGTCTCCCACATAGGTACAAGGGCCCAAGGACTTGGGTCATCTTCTACTGCTTCCCAGGCCATAGCAGAGAGCTGGATTGGAAGTGGAGCAGATGGGACTTGAACCGGCACCCATGTGCGATATTGGCACTGCAGGTTTTACCCACTACACCACAGCACCAGCCCCAAGAACAATTCTTATTAAAACAATAAGCCACGCAACACAGCTGAATAAAGGTATGTGAGCTGAGGGGTGAAGAAAAGGGGCACTAAGTGGTACGGTGTCATGCAGAGCAGAAGTCGTTTCTGTGTAAGAATTGATGGAGCTGACAAGGGCAGGGTAGTTTCTACAAAGCCATAACTCAGCAGAATATTCTGCCTTTTTTTTTTTTTTTTGGACAGGCAGAGTGACAGTGAGAGAGAGACAGAGAGAAAGGTCTTCCTTCTGTTGGTTCACCCCCCAGTGGCCGCTGCAGCCAGCGCACCGCGCTAATCCGCAGCCAGGAGCCAGGTGCTTCTCCTGGTCTCCCATGCGAGTGCAGATATTCTGCACTTAAAACTTTCTTGGACACCTCCCTTTCTAGCTTAAAGCCAGGAAAGTCAAGAGCGTCGGAAGAGCCAACTTGAGGGCTGCTGATGTGGCGCACTAGGTTAAACTGCTGCCGGCAACACCAAGATCCCATATCGGAGTGCCAGTTTGAGTCCCAGCTGTCCCACTTCCAATCCAGCTCCCTGCTAATGTACATGGGAAAGGAGGGCCCCTGTCACTTACAAGGGAGAACAAGGTGATAAATAAATTTTTAAAGAGCTCATTTGTACAAAGAAACACTGATTTCTGTTGAATGAAATAGGAATGTTGCAATATTACCTCAGAAGAGCTAACCTCTACTCTTCAGTTCCTGTCAACAAACCAACCAACCAACTCGGGGGCTCCTCAGATCCCTTCCAGCTGCTGAGAGCTGAGCTAAGGGAAAAGCCCTGGCAGCTTCTCTCAGTCACAGCACACAGCAGCATAAGCTAATCAACACCAAACCCTCTTCTCAGACAAGAGACGAGCATCATACAAATGCAAAAATGGGAAGGAACTGCACACTAATCTAAAGTATCTGGTAGGGAAAAACTAACAAACATTCCTCCTCTCACCTAGATTGACGTATTTTAATTCAAAGCCTAAGTTTATTTGTCATATGGTCTGGATTTTTATACTGGGGACTACTGCCAATTAAAAAGTAAGAGTTGCCAGAACATTCTTCTGAGAGACATATTACAGGGAGAAATGGCTGGCAGTATTATTTGACAAGAAACAAGTTTCCTTTAAACAGCTATATATAGAAATATATTTGTACAAATGCACACATACAATTAAGCTACATAACATCAAGTACAGAATGGTATGAACAAAAATACTTTCTCTCAAAATGCATGAATAGGCTTAAGTTTTATTTCTGAACAGGTTTTCTCATTGTGGTAAGATCCATAAAAGCGGGCCGGCATTGTGGCACAGTGGGTTAAGCTACCACTTGCCATTCTAGCATCTTGTATCAGAGTGCTTGTTAGAGTCCTGGCTGCTCCACTTCAGATGCCATTTCCTGCTAACACACCCGGGGAGGCAGCAGAAGATACAGCTCCAGCACTTGAGCCCTTGCCACCCATGTGGGAGACCAGCTCAGAGTTCCAGGCCTCAGCCTGACCTAGTCCTGTGGCTGCTGAGGCCATCTCAGGAGTGAACCAGCGGGTACAAGATCTCTATCTGCCCCTCTTCCCAACCCTGCTCTCTCCCTCTGTCACTCTGTCTCTCAAATAAATACATCTTTTTTATAATGGCAATTTTAAATGTTGAGATATTTGTAATTAGTTAAATTAGAGACTTCAGTATTAGTGTTCTATTTAATGCTAAACTTTCAAAATATAATTTGATTTTCTCCCTTTTGGCAAATAATGTATTTATAATTTTAGATAGCAACACAGACCATGACTGTTTTTAAACTCTCTCATCTTGGTTAGCACTGTTTAAGACCTCCTGTGCAGAGTTCTGTAAAGGTGGGACACATCTGTTTTATTTAATAATGTATGCCCAGAATACAGAAACCACTCATTACATATTGTTTACTAGTTGAGACTGTCCTAATTTTACCTTGCTTTCTGAGTTTTTTGCTTTTGCAGTTGATGAATAGAGAATAAAGCAGTTATTACTACAAAAGACAATGTCCTTCTCCCCTCTCTTGGAGCTTTCTCGGGAATCCTGAAAGTCAAAGAGAAACGAGGGCATCTCAGTAAGTCAAAATATAATATATCTAAAAAGTAAAACATAGCTATCTTAAGTCCAAGAAGCTTCAAGAAGTTCATGGAAAATACATTATTATGAAAAAACTATGCATGGGTTTCTAAAACATTTTACATCAAAATAATCTTACCTTATAACTACATTTTTCTAGCAACTTTTTGAAGCTCTCTTGAATTCAGCATTTAGTAATTGAGCCATAGGAAAAATAAATGTACAGAAACAGCTTGTACTACCCATCTATCACTCCATTTTAACATATGCTCGACTAGGGTGAAAGGTGTTGTGGCACAGTGGGTTAAACTGCTGCGCGGGACTGTGCACCCACACTGGCGTGCTGTTTTGGTTCTAGTCCTGGCTCCTCTGCTTCCAATCCAGCTTCCTACTGACACACCTGGGCAGGCAGCAGGTAATGGCCTGGGTATTTGGTATTTGGGTCCTTGCCTACATCGCAGACTCAGAGTTCCTGGCTCCAGGTTTTGGCCGTGCACAGCCCTGCTTGTTGAGAGCATTTGGGGAGCGAACAAATAGATGAATGCTCTTTCTCATTCTCTGCCTTTCAAATAAATACATCTTTAAAAAATGAAAGTAACTACGTGGCCTTCATAATATTCACTGTTCCCAGTCTGATACAGCTATCCGTGTTAGAGCCCATCCACATGCACGTGGATGCTCCTGCGAGGAGTGCATCCTGTCATGCTGCCGTGACGTGGAGCCCTGCCTGGTGCAGAAGCAGATGTGGTCAAGCACATGGTCACTGGACACGGGGTGGAGTCATGGAAAGAACAGGGAAGTACCTTGTTTGCCAGAGTCACATCTTTCAAAGATTTCCGCACACCACTTCCAAGAACGACCACTTTACAGTGACAGCACCACTGTGGTCTGAGTGCCGCACTGTCTGCAAGACCACGACTGGGCTCCTTATATCCAGGAAGACCTAAAGGCAACCAACGTGGTTAGTAACCTGACCAACAATCGTGGGGGGACATGGTGTGAAATTACACCGTTATCACAGCATGGTTCATTAACTCTGCATTCTTTAACAAAAACTTCATTTTCTAAGCAATGTTTATAAGGCATCTATTGTATGACGTGGGCACAAATTAAAAAACATCAAGCAGCTGGCAGAACACTGATAGTATGCAAGTTTCTAACAAAGCCAAGTAACCAAAATACTCACACAAAGTGAGTCAGAGAGGGACGGAGATATTGCTGGTGCTTGAGGGTTAAGATGATACTAAAATGCTTAATGAAAGATAAGGATATAGAACAGTCTTATAAGTGTGACTTGCAGCGTCAATGAGAAATAAGGACGCGCGGGTACGCAGGCCTGGGACCCACGGGGACAGCACTACTCAGGAAGAACAGCAGTGACAGAAGCACCTGGAGGCAGAGCTCAGAGATCCAACACAGACTTCCAGAAAGAGTTCCACAGTGAGAACAGAGAAACTACTGGAGATGAGGACAGAAGCCAGAGCACACGGAAACAGTGAGTGATGCTGAGGAACTGGGGCCCAGCAAGCACATGCTAACACCAACACCAGAGACAGACAGCAAAGTGCTGTTGGGAGGGACCAGTGTGCTGCTGTTCACAGGGATGGGTGAAACACCCTTGTGGGTAGGGAAGATCTTGGGGAGGTGCTGCAGAGGCAAAACAGGCAAGTGGTGACGGAACGCAGAGAACAGGAAAACAGAAACCCTGGCAAATCACTAGCCTTGCCTGTACCGTGGGCAACAAGCAGAGTAGTGGATGAGGGTTTGGGAATATAAACAAAAGGTACCCAAGGGTTATCAAGTAACATGCTTTCTCTGTCTAAGCAACACGTCCTGGTTGTCAGCAATGATATATAATTCACATGCTAATGCAGTAAAGGTCAAATCACACCAGAGAAACAGCAAAGTAAGGACTACATATCAACATGTTATTGTCATGAATCAAATATTGAGATTTGAAAAAGAATAATCTTAATTTTTGACGCAAGAGGGCACTGGGAGTTAGCAGAAAGCTCACAAGCTCACCGTTGCTCGTTGGAGGAAAGGGCACATTCGGCTGCTTCAGCCGGTGGGAGCTTGCCAGTCTGGGAGGGTTTGCAGATCCTGGTGGAGGCCCACGAAGCAGTAAATGCTGTCGATACTCCAAACCTGGGTTTACTCTGTGGCTACTGACCAAACCCATGGAAGGAACATCTGGAGCATTACTAACTTCATAGCTGTTAGGAATTCGGACGTGAAGAAGATCGGAAAATGCAGCCACAACACTGCTAATGTTCTAAAACAAAGTGCAAATGCTGTGTTACCAACCAAAAGGGAACAGTGAGCCGACAAAGCTTTCATGAACAGAAAACTTCTTAAAGAAACTCGAATTAATATTAATTATTTGGGAATACATTAAGCTATTTTAGTTTTCTTAACACCTGACAAGTGTAAGGGACAGACACAACTACAAGGGATGAGCTAATAAATCCTGTCATCTTCCAGAGCTGCTCAGAAAATGAACTTCAAGGGGTTCTATGTGAAATTGTCCACCCTACAGTGACATCTGACAATCAAAATGGCAAGTCATTGGACTACGAGTTTGGTCTCCAGTGAAATATCACTCACTGCAGAATTCAGAGTTTAAAAATCCACAATTTTAGTGTTGGATATAAACAGCCACTACCTGAAAACGTTCTACTGCTTCTATAGAACTCTCCTTGTTGATAAAGGTTCTTCATTAATCTTCTACAGCGTAAACAGTTATGAAAAGGTTTCTCAAGTATCCATTCTCTAATAACAAATTGTGCACTCTAACTTCACTATCTGCCTTCATGTAGCCTGAGATTAACTTAATACTTATAGTGCTCAAAAGCAGCCTCGATGACTTTGACCATTTATCCTAACCGATCCTCTTACACATATCCTTGTAAGCTACCTTAAGTATCTTTAAAAAGGAGGACACAGTTTATAGTATTACAAAATAATTCCTCTTTTACCTCAGCAGCTGAAGGGTGCAGAGTAATTGCTACAGATATGAGACCCGATCTGGGACCATTTGAGGATGCACCAAAAGGTGATGTGAAAAATAAAGTGCCTGGCTCAGTTTTGATGTCATTCTTTCTTGACTCTGAACCTTAGAAAAAAAGGAAAGATAGGGAAGAAGTAGTGTTAGTGGCTTTTCCAAGTCAAATATTTACATCAGTAATTGGCACACTGTAAAGAGATAGCAAGCTAAATATCCTGCTTACTTTTCCCGGCAGTGCTAGGAAGAATTGGAATGATGGGGGACGGTACTGGCTCTGGAGGCTCCTCTTTGACCAGTGACAGATCTGGATACCTGCTCACTTCTACGCCAACCACACTCTCAGGAGAGGACGAGGGAACAAAACTGTCAGGACTGTCCCTGTCACCACAATGATCCTGTATCCTGAAAGAAGAGTAAACCCACATGTCAGAGTGTGCAAATCCACTGCTGGGGCTTCCTGTACCAACCCAGCTGTATCAGTGATCTCAGCAGGAACGATACTCTGGGCATCAGTAACGATGGAAGGAGCAAATTAACTAGTTCAGGGGAAAAGAGGAAAAAATGTAATACATGTTAAAATATAAAGTAATTTAAATGACATTTTTTCCTTCGGACCAAAGTTTTGGCATCAAGTTTAAAGACCTGCCAAAGGGAAAGACGTTCAGATTGTAACAGAACACAAGACAGAAGATTACTATTACCTTTGCAAAATTACAGATTACCTGAGGCTAAGGGAAAACACCTAAGGCTTGAAACAGGATGAATGGTGCAGGTACACCTGCAACACCTGCATGCAGTGACTGAAACAGCTATCCAGTGGCTGCTGCTTGTAGTGGAAAGATGGACAAAAGCCTGGTCACTATGGCTTCATATGGCATTATTCTTTTTAACTAATAATGTGAAAAGTCCCTCTTGGCTAATCTAAGAGCTGAAGTTTGCAACGGCGAGACCTCAGGCTGAGTCACAGAACAGCGCCGTCAATCTGCCGTTAGCATCTCCACCAGCACCGAGCATGCGCTCAAGTGGCGGGAGGCCTATGAACAGCTTCCAGAGCTCCACAAACCCGGTGACATGGGATTCAGGGTCCCGTGAAATCCTAGTCACCAAGTAAACAGACCTAAGAAACTGCCTTACACAGCTGTGGCAAAGCACTGGTGGTCCCTAGTAAGAAATGTGGAAATTCTTGGCTGTAAGATACAGAGAAAAGAAACATGGATCCCAAATTTGGATAAGTTACTCTTCCTTTTGGGCTGTAGTTTTCTCATGAATAACAATTAAGAGCCTCAGGCTAAATGGATATCTCATCAAACTGGGGATGGCTAGCAGATTCTCCCAAGAAGATGAAATACATAGAATCCTTTGGATACAATAAGCTAAGTAGTGATCGTCTACTAACAGAACCTGATTCTTCCCACTCAGAATCTGGGGACTACGGGTGGGTGTTGTGGTGCAGGAGGTTAAACGGCCTCTTCTGATGCTGCATCCCTTACAGGAGGGCCGTTTTGAGTCCTGGCTGCTTCCGCTCCCTGATAACAAAGGAAGGCCTGTGGAAGAAGGCCCAAGTGCTTGGGGCCCTGCCACTCATGTGGGAGACCCGGAGTCCATTTCCTGGCTTTGGCTTGGTCTAGACCTGGCTGTTGTGGGCATCTGGGGAGTGAACCAGCACATGGAAAATCTTTTTCTGTGTATGTCTCTCTTTCTGTCACTCTGCCTTTCAAATAAATAAACAAATCCTTAAAACAAATTTTTTTTGAGGTTAAAGAACTGATATAAAATGGTTACAAAATTCTGGAAGGGATGGTTCTTAAACTCTCTTCCACAACACCATTCTCAGTATCTGTGATTGCTGTTTTATTAGACATCTACAAATATCAGTAATAAATCACAGTAATAAGTTATAATGGACAATGATTTTTTTTTGAAATGCACAAATTGGAAGCAGGTATTTGTCCTAGCAATTAAGATACCGGCATCCCATTTTACAGTACTTGGATTCAGTTTCCTGCTCCAGCTTCCCACCAATGCAGACCCCAGGAGTCAGCAGTGATGGCTGAAGCAATTGGGTTTCTATTGTCCACATGAGAGATCTGGATTGCATTCTAGGCTCCTAGTTTCAGGCCCTGCTGTTACAGGCATTTGAAGAATGAACCAATGGATGGAAGCTCTGCTTGTCTGTCTCTCTCTCTCTGGGGAATGAACCAATAGGTGGGAGTGCTCACTCTGTCAGTCTCTGCCTCTCAAAGTTTTTTGTTTTTTGACAGGCAGAGAGAGAGAGACAGACAGACAGAGAAATGTCTTCCTTCCGTTGGTTCACCTCCCAAATGGCTGCTACGGCCGGCGCGCTGCGCCGACCCAAAGCCCGGAGCCAGGTGCTTCTTCCTGGTCTCCCACGTGGGTGCAGGGCCCAAGCACTTGGGCCATCCTCCACTGCCTTCCCGGGGCCAAAGCAGAGAGCTGGACTGGAAGAGGAGCAACCGGGACTAGAAACCGGCGCCCATATGGGATGCCAGCGCTGCAGGCGGAGGATTAACCAAGTGAGCCATGGTGCAGGCCTCAAAAGTTTTATATACGGGGCTGGCTCTGTGGCATAGCAGGTAAAGCTGGCATTCCATGTGAGCGCTGGTTCGAGTCCCAGCTGCTCTACTTCCAATCCAGCTCTCTGCTATGACCTGAGATAGCAGAAGAAGATGGCCCAAGTCCTTGGGTCCCTGCACCCATGTGGGAGACCCGGAGGAAGCTCCTGGTTCCTGGCTTCAGATCAGCCCAGCTCTGGCTGTTGCGGCCATTTGGGGAGTGAACAATGGATGGAAGACCTCTCTCTCTCTGTGTCTCTGTCTCTGTCTCTGCCTCTCTAACTCTGCATTTCAAATAAATAAATAAATATTCAAGAAAAAATTTTTAATGTACAAACTACTTAATAGTAACATCTTATAAATTTAAAATTCTAAAGATTGTAATTTACAAACTTTTACTTCTCAAATATTTTGTACGTACTATCCTAACAGGTATTATATTAAAAAATAAAATAACTGAAAATTATTAGTGAGAAAAGCGACTTCTACCTCAATTCTTCCTGATTGTTGTGAGGTGGTGTTGGAAGGGAAGCAGGAACATCAACTGTCTTTGGGCCCTGAGCAATAGCTCTGGCTAACAAGTCGTCCTGTGATCTGAATGGCAACTGAAAGGGCTTCGGTCCTAGAGTTTTGGTGACTGCGAAAGCAAAAACACAAAATCATTAATACATTTAGTCAAAACTGATAAACAGAACTTCACAATGCGATCACCACTTCACCCTACAGAACTGACAACTGTCATGCACAGGCTGGAGGTTATACTCATACCTTCTTGGCTCACTAGCACTCCAGCTTTTCCAGCAAGTTCCTCGGTGGTTGCAAAACCATTTGCCATCTTCTGACAAGCCATGGGAGGTGGTGTAGGAGGAAGAGAGGCAGGGGGTGTTGGAGGATTACTTAAATTATTCTGCTGCAGGAGACCAAAAGATGTTAAATTATATGCTACTGAGCAAATATGCAATGACCTTGCTAAAATTTAGTTCTGTGAAATCATAGCGCATGGAAACAAGAGTACAGAAATTTAAACAGCAGGTATCTTCATTCCCATGTGCATACCAAGAGGGAAAATCAAGCCCAAAAGCTTCTGAGTGGAACAACTACTCACGCCTTTATGGACACATAAGTATCCATTTGCTTACTTTACCCGGCTTGAGTATTTAGCTTTGAAAGTAAGAAGCAAATCTCAATTATTCCTGATTCTATTTTATACAACTCCTTTCAAGTATCATGGTTACAGGCCTTGAAGGATACCTTTAAAATTTAATAAAAAAATTGTAAAGAAGTCTCCAAAATTCCTTTATTATAAAAATTATCATTAAGGCATGCCCTGGTTCTTTGAAAAACTTAAGAATTTGTGGTCCCAAGCCTGTAATACACAAAGCCCAGTTAACAGAACCTGGATTGTTCAAGGTTTCCAAAAGAAGAGAAAGCAGTAGCAGTAATACTAAGTGACTAAATTATCAAAAAAAAGTTACTCTTTTTCAAGCATCTTTAAGAGCTTAACATTTGTCATTTATTATTTAACCTCTGAAGGATTGTCAGAATCTACCAATAATATCATCTGGGTCAAGTATAAGGTGAAATTACAAATTCTACAAGGACACTGGATTTCAGGAAGATGATGAAGTTGGAATACAGCTTTCACTACATGAGAAGGCAATTACAGGAGTTAAGACAGGTTCTAACTCAGGGAAAAACTCAACAAGGGCAGCAAGTTATTTAATTATCAGAAGAATTATTTAACATATCAGAAAAGGACCCCTTAAACTAACCACATTCTCAAGTATTTCTGCAAAGCTGACCTTTTCACATAAATCATACGTGAAATGAAGATGTTCTATCCTGCTATCATAAAACCTTGATACAAAAATACCAAAAGATAATCTCGGTTTGCTTTGATTTTATTTCAACAATCGAGAAATTAGTGCATATTTGCAGTTAGCCCCCAAATTATTAGATAAAATGTTTTAAAAATTCTTGTATTTTTCAAGGTAATATTCTAACTATGTTTTAAAATTTCTACTATTTGTAACAAATTCATTTTAACAGTTAATAATAGTTATAGTAGGTATTTCTGTATCATGGAAATGTAAAAAAAGCTGTTTCTCACTATTTCTATTTTTACCTACAGAAACATTTCAATTGTTGATGTTAGAAATACCTCACCAAGTAACATTTTCACCTTTTAGTTGAACTTAAGCTTGAATGAACTGGGAAGATTAGATGTAAACAAGATGCAAAACAGACATGTGCTACCAGTTCTGACATGGTATAATGAAGACAAAGCAAGGTAACATTTCAGCCAAAAAACATACCTTGTAGATCAACTGAGAATAGTAGTCTGAAGCCCCTTCCAGGGTAGCACTGCCGAAAGTTCCTAGAAGTCGATTCCCACTATTAAATTGGCCACTGCCATAAGGAAGAAAGTGCGCAAAGTTCACTCCAATGATTGGTTCCATTAGAGGGAGCAGAGAGAGCTGCTATTAAAAAACACATTTAAGAATAATGTACAAGACAAATCAAACTGTTCCTCCACTTCTGAGACTCAAAACAACTTAGTCAAATAGAGCTTGAGAAAAATAAGACTTAAAAATTCTGTTACAATTACAAAGGTCCAGGAGTAAGAGTTTACTAGGCAGAGTCTAGCAGCTGCACTTCTTTGGCTCCACAGACACAACAGGGACAGATTTTCTAGGTGCAGGGTTGCTCCTAACTCCTAACCATCAGCTGCCCATCCAGCTATATTACTATACATTTCAAGTGTCAATAGGATAAGGTACACTTTTGCTTGGAAAGAGGAAGTTTATTAAGCTCCTGGTCCAGATGTCTTTTATCCCTGAACTCTGGACTTAAACTGATAAATTATCACAACAAAGCATTAGTTTAATAGGGTTACAATAGCACCAGAGGGCTTCCTTCCTGGCATTTGTAAAGGGGCTGCTATGATCCACTCACCTGCTTCAGGTGGGTAAAAGAGTCACTGGTAGAGGACACAGCTTGTTTCTCCTCATCGTCCTTCTTCCTTTTCTTGGAGCGAGGTGCTGCTTTCTCTCCCGTTCGCTGGGTCCGTTTGCTACGCTGTTTCTTGGTTTCACTTCCTCCATCTGTTTTTGGCAACTGGCTATTGCCACATCCAAAACCACCTTGCATTTGAGCCCCCAAAGTTTGCTAATGTAATTGAAAAGGTGAAGAAGTGAGTGAACTATTCACATACTTGATTTTTAGTTCATGCTAGTCCAGTTCCATCCCAAAGATAATTCCTAACATGGTATTAAGTTAAGGAGGAAATGCACAGAGGGGTGTCGTATGCTCCAATGCTTTTCTGAAAATACCACCTTTTTCCAACGTTATTCTCTCATGTGGAAACCAGTAAGCTGCACAGCTTGAGCAAAGCAAAGGAGCCCTCGGTATGAAGAGGGGGCAGAGGGGTGTGCGCCGCCTGCTCTCAGGCAGCAGCCCAGGAAGGGTGTGCTGCGGGAAACTCTGCACAGTGCACATGATCCCCCCCCCCCCCCGAGGAACTAAGAAATAATGAAATACAAGATCTGCTGAAACAGCTCAGAGGCCCAGAAAAGCTTCATGGCCTGTGTGTCATCAGTGAGTGAACAGCTAGCACCAGAGAGCAATACAAAGAAGTAACACTGGTCCTTCAAATTAGTTCACTAACAAATAAGGAACTGAAAAATAATGGCTATTTATTTAAAAGTCAATGGGAGAGACAGCAGGTAACATTGACTATTTTGTTTTTAAAGTTAAGAAGAAGTAATAAACAAGCCAGGATCTGTAAAGGTCCTTAGGGTAGTGCAATCAATTCCTAAAATTATAGGGATATTTTTCAGGCTCTGCTATTTCTATACTTAATTGTCAATACTTTGCTACAGACAATTATAGTTGCTGAACTTATTACAACAAATTGTCCATTAAATCTTTGAAGGTTTTAAGGTTTTAAAAGTTTTGCTTTCCAGTTAGGCAAAATTTTTATGTAAAGGGCCAGAGAGTAAACATTTTAGAGCTCACAGACCATAAACCCTCTATTATAACTCAACTCTGCCCTTGAACTGCAGAAGTACACAGTTTGTAAATGAATGAACTTATAGCTGCATTCCAATAGGGTTTTTCAGATTCAAGTAAAATTCTGAATTCTGCGTAATTCTCATGTCAGCATTATTACTCTTTTTGGAGTATTTTCCATCATCAAAAATGTAAAAGCCATTGTTAGCTCATACAAAGAGGAGAAAGGTGAAATCAGGCTCACACTGCCCATTCCCAGCTGGACACAGACCAGCGGTTCCTCAAGGGCCATCCCCATTGTTAACAGCAGCACTGTCCTGGACTGGTGGGAATGTAAATGTTTAAAGGTTTGCTCGTTTACTTATTTATTTGACAGGCAGAGTGACAGACAGAGATATCTTCAAGCCATTGGTTCACTCCCCAAATGCTGCAACAGCAAGAGCTGGGCCAAACCAAAGCCGGGAGCCAAGAATACCATCCTAGTCTCCCACAGGGGAGGCAGGGGCCCATACATTTGGGCCATCTTCTACTGCCTTTCCAGGTACCTTAGCAGTAAACTCAATAAGAAGTAGAGCAGCCAGGAATAGCACTTGATATGGGATGCCCACATCTCTGGTGGGTTAACCCACTGTGCCACAATGCCAAAGGGAGACATGCAATTTCTCTGGTATACCCCAGCCAGAACTACTGAATTATAGGATCTGGTGCTGGGGTCCAGCAATCCACATTTTAACAAGGCTTCAAGGTGACTATCATAAAGCACTAAGAACCACAGGAAATCTCTAATATGCAAATGAATACATTCTAAACTCAGTAGGTAATGTCATAAATCTCCCATATGCTTCACTTCCAATCCAGCTTCCTGCTAATTTGCCTGGGAAAGCAGCAGAGGATGGCCCAAGCCCCTGCCTGCACCCACAGGGAAACCCAGAAGAAGCTCCTGGCTCCTGACTTTGGATCAGTTCAGCTCCGGCTATTGTTATCATTTGGGGAATGAACCAGAGAATGGAAGACCTCTCCCTCTCTCTCTCTACTCTTCTCTGTAACTCTTTCAAATATATAAATCTTTAAATAAAACAAAACAAAAAACAAAACTCCCAGGTAATATGTACTCTGCTGATTCCCAAAGAAAGCACTCTGAAGAGCAAAGACCTAACAATTTCTTGGCTGGCTTATAAAAGACTAATGATGTAATCATGTGTTAACTATGCACAGGTAAGTACTTCACAGACATTATCTCTAATCCTCTCAATTATTCTAAAAAGCAAATATAACTACATTTCTTTTTTTAAAATTTATTTGACAGAGTTAGACAGTGAGAGAGACAGAGAGAAAAGTCTTCCTTCCGTTGGTTCACCCCTCAGATGGCCGCTACAGCCAGCACTGTGCCGATCAGAGCCAGGAGCCAGGTGCTTCTTCCTGGTCTCCCAAGCAGGTGCAGGCACCCAAGCACTTGGGCCATCCTCTACTGCCTTCCTGGGCCACGGCAGAGAGCTGGAGTGGAAGAGGAGCAACCAGGACTAGAACCCAACGCCCATACGGGATGCTGATGCCACAGGTAGAGGATTAACCAAGTGAGCCACTGCACTGGCCCCAAATATAACTATATTTCAAAAAATAATTCTAGAAGAGCACAAAAGAAAATCAGCCCAAGATAATGTTACTATTTTAAAGTACCTGTTTTCAATCTTTTATCTATGTCTTTATACTTTAAAATTTAAAAAATGACTACAGCTTACAGTTTGTGTCCTTGGAGTAGATACTTTTAAAAGCTGACATATTGGGGTGTGCATTGTGGTGCAGCAGGTCAGGCTGCTGCCTGCAGTGCCTATATCCCACGGGCGCCATTCGAGTCCACTTCCGATCCCACTCCCTGCTAAAATGCCTGGGAAAGCAGTAGAAGGTGGCCCAAGTACCTGGGCCCCTGAACCTATGTGGGAGACCCTCAAGAAGCTACTGGCTCCTGGTTTCAGATCAACCCAGCTCTGGCCGCTGCAGCCCAAGTGAACCAGAGGACAGAAGATCTCTCAGTCTCTCCTTCTGTCAGTAACTCTGCCTTTCAAATAAAGCAATAAATCATTAAAAAAAAAAGTTGATATGATTGTTCTCCAAGCTACTGAATCTTTTTGCACAGCACAAACTTAAATATAAAGATGCTCAAGATACAGTTCTTCTCTTCCAAGGAGCTATTTAATAATTTAAAAATACTGTAGAGATTGCTATGTGAATACATGGACTACAATAGCTATTTGAGACTGAGTTGAGAAAGCCTTCTGGATATGATGATTCCAGAACTGAATAGAAGTTAAAAAGACACAGGAAAGGAGAGAAGAGCAGAAACAGCAGTGCATGACAATATGCTATGAAGGGGGCAAACAGAAACACTCAGGATTTTCCAAGTCATTCTGTACTTCCACAGGCCCAAGAGGCTTTGGAAAAAGTAGCTAGAGATTGGGCTGGACAGTTGGACATATTTATTGCTGACAACTATGACTAGAAAAGCATAACCAATAAAATATACAAAAGTCACCGGAATCCATTAGGTCAACATTCAGTCTCTATTAAATAGCCAAAGACAAATAAGAAAAAAAGTCAATACTTGCAAAACAGATGAGCTTAATTAACAATTTTAAAATTGCAAATTTGGACAACTAAATATACCACTCCACTCCTACACAAGTAAAATACAAAAATGATAAAATCCAACTTGGGAAGCACTCTAGAGAAAGCCTTATGAATGCACTAAAAACAGTACTGTAACTTCTGACACATAAGAAGGCATATGCTATCAAGCAGAACAATTCCCACGACCCAGAAATCTAACTTTTAGAAATATTTTAATGCATTTAATTGATATAAGGGGGAGGGATTCTTTAAACAATACATTTTCAATTAAGCTCTTCATAAAAAAGCAAATGCAATACTGTTCACACTTGAGACACTATCTCCCAGTAAGGTGCATTACTGCAACATTACACTCTAACGCAATGGTTCCAAGTTTTGGTTATCACTGAGTCCCCAAGGATATTAACGGGACATACCAGCTTTCTTTCCTTTCAAAGAAGTTAGCAAATTATGAACTTATTTACAGTAAAGGTATATAGACTTTTATTTCCTTTCTTTTATTTAGATCAATTCAGAGTGATGAACAGGTGACAAATGTAAGCATGAAATGTTGTGACACATATCTTTGCTTTTTAAAAAAGTAGTAAACAAAGTAGTACTTAATATACTTTCATGGATATTAATAAAGACATGAGTTCCATGGAGATAGAAACATAAAAAAATGCTTGTTTAGAGTAAAATGGATGAAATGTTGTGCTGAAATTTAATACAATTGTTGGTATCAATCTGCACTGTTAAAACAAAAGAAAAAATATTGTAGTTTTCATGATTTGCACTTACCAATCCTTCAGCTACTTGCTGCTTCTCAATCATTTTATTATCCTTTGTACAGTTGTCTTCTGAACAAAAAGTGCTGTCTGGTTTTTGATTTAGAAGAGAAGCTGACTTTTTAGTTTTCAACAAGTGTTTCAGAAGTTCATTGCCTGAATCTCCTTTAGCAGCAGGGGCCCCGAGAGCACGGGGAGGACTCTGTGCGGAGGAGACAGGATGCGCTATACCCTTTTCTTCTACCTTACTACCAGACTGTTCCTCCAATTTAGGCTCCTCTCGGCCTGGGCATGGCTCCGTCTCAGCTTTTTCCAGTTTTATTTCTTCAATTTTGGCAGGGGTTTCCATGGACAGCTTATCTACCTCTGAGTCTGTATAAGTCTGTTGATTTGGAGGTTCCTGTGAGTAATCACTAGGGGGAAGTTTGCTTTCTAACTCTGTATCTGGCTGGCCTGCCACCATACTGGGAGTTGATGGGCCACCTGGTTCCACCAACTCTTGTTCTCCTTGCTGAGGAAGCTCGCTGGGTGTGTTCCCTGTAGGAGTGGAGGTAGTTTCTGAGATGCTTGGAGTAGGTGGAGCAGTGATATCTGAATGGGGAGTTGATGGTGCCTTGGTGGATTCTGTATCATCATCTTTTTTCTTTTTTCTTGTTCTTTTCTTTTTCCCTTTCTCTTCTGGAATTATATCAGAATACAACTGAATGAGAGACTGGGTTGATCCTGGATAACTTTGTCCATGGGTTAGAGCTGGGTCTTGACTACATGGGAGATTGCTGTTAGCTATGGCAGGTGGTGCTGCTACTAAAGTAGGTGTAAAAGGAGGCCTTACTGGAGACTGCTGGAAATTGGTCCCAGAAAGACTTCCATGTCCTTGCTTAATAGAATGGAAAGTGGGGCTCCCACCAGGAACAGTTGGTGAGTCAGGAACAAACGAAGGAGGTCCTCCTTGCCTTCGTTCACTGGTTTGCAAGAATGTTTGGGTAGGGGGTGAACTAATAGATCCTTGTTGTATGTTCTGCTGCTGTAAAACCTGTCCCATTTGCGTTTGGTGTTGTGGAGACTGTTGGAGGGGTCTGGGAGGTTGCAGAAAATCACAAGGTAGGTCAGAACTGTAGAATGGAATCTGGGACACAGATGTCCTACAACTCAGTTCTGCACCCATCATGCCATGCTGTTCCATCTCCATCCTCTGCTGCAAGGCTCTCTGTCTGTCCACTTCTTGCATGAGCTGGATTCGTTGTCTTTCCTGCTGTTCTCGTAAGCGTTCCTTCCGTTCCCGTTCTTGAAAACTTTCACTAAAGGGGTTGTTGTCATCAAATTCCACCCGTGGTGGTGGTCCACTCTGTGAATTTGCATTTGACAATGGCCCGGGTGCTGGTGTGCAAGTTTTTATTGGAATCTGGGCAATTGGGGGCTGAATTCTAGGAGGGTTAAGGGGAAGGTGAGCAGAAGCATTGGTAGGTTGCCAACCAGGTAAACTGGGCATTCTAGCAGGACTAGTGTGGCCAGAGATGACTGCTGTGTGCTGCTGGTGCTGAAGCTGCTGTGGTACCAGGGAAAAACTGGATTGGCTCATGGTGGGTGGAGTGGCCCCTGGAACCAAGGGAGTCTGGGGCTGGACACCAGGCATCATGTTAGGTGGGGCCATTGCACACTGCTGCTGCTGTTGCTGTTTGATTCGATAATCTTCAATTAACTCGGCATGCTCTTTCTGTTGTTTACGAATCTGGAAAAATAAAACTGACCATTACTCATTTATGTATGAAATAGCTATCAAACTAAAGCACTGATGATTTTGGTGGGTGGTAAACAGAAAGCCAATGAGCCTTGTAGGAGTAAAAATAACCTGGTTAGACAATGGGGAAAAAAACAAATCACAAAAGGTGGACTGATAAGCCTTAACTTAGGATTGCCAATCTTACTCCAACATGGGCTAGCAGTGTGATGCAGCAGGACAAGATGCTGCCTTCAATGCCAGGATCCCATATCGGTGTGCCTGTTAGTCCCAGCTCCCTCTAAAGTGCCTGGGAAACAGCAGAAGATGGTCCAAGAACTTAAGCCCTGTCACCCACATGGAAGCCAGAGGGAGTTTAGACTGCTGGCTTCAGCTTGGCCCAGCCCTGGCCACTGCGGCCATTTGGGTAATGAAGCAGTAGGTGGAAGACCACTTTCTCTCTCTGCCTCACTCTGCCTTTCAAATAAATAAAATAAACCTTAAAAACATGGGGCCGGTGCTGTGGCATAGCAGGTAAAGCTGCCACCCACAGTGCCAGTATCCCATATGGGTGCTGGTTCCAGTCCCAGCTGCTCCACTTAAGATCCAGTTCTCTGATATGGCCTGGAAGAGCAATGGAAGATGGCCCAAGTCCTTGAGCCCCTGCACCCATGTGGGAGACCGGAAGAAGCTCCTGGATCCTGGCTTCGGATCAGCCCAGCTCCAGCCATTGCAGCCATTTGGGGAGTGAACCAGCAGATGGAAAACTTCAACTGACCTACATCGTGGCAGGGGCCCAAGCACTTAGGCTATCTTCTGTTGCCTTCTGATTCATTTCCTGCTAATCTCCTAGAACGCACAACAGCCAGAACTCAAACTGATATTCCCGTAAGGGATGTCAGCACTGCAAGTGGTAGTTTAACCCACTGCCGTACAACACCGGCCCCTGAATCTTTTTGTTGAGTGAACACCTGTGAGTGGGCTTGAAACTAATTTGAGCTCTTCATTGTTTTATTGTAAATAAAAATTATTACTTTTTCAGTACAATTATTATTGTGTTTGAGCATTTTGAGAGACATCTGGTATACAATGGTAACAAAATAATTTCATTTTTCAGGAATGAGTCCTTTATGTAGGCTTCAAAGAATTTTTAAACATTAATAAAAATGTACATCAAAAAGTCCACCAGAATGAGTCATATGCTATATCTGAAATTCTACTAGAAATCAGGGAACCAAAGGAGAAAGTTAAGGTCCTGCATCCCTGATTCTTCTTCCCTCCTGAACCCAGCTCTTCCTTCATGAGACTAATTATGAGGAAAGCCAGACTCTCAGATGTACGAGACACAACCTTCTGCACAGTGACTTTTTTTTTTTTTTTAAGATTTTTAAAATTTTATTTGAAAGTCAGAGTTACAGGGAGAGAGATTTTCCATTGCTGATCTTCCCAGATGGCCTCAATAGCCAGGGCTGGGCCAGGCCAAAGTCAGGAGCCAGGAGCTTCATCCCGGGTCTCCGCATGGGTGCAATGGCCCAAGCACATGGACCATCTACTACTGTTTTGCCAGATGATTAGCAGAGAGCTGGATCAGAAATGGAGCAGCCAGGACACGAACCAGTGCCCATATGGGATGCCAGCACTGCAGCTTAACCCACTGAGCCACAGCACCAACTCCTGCAAAGCCACTTCTTCACCTGGAAAAAAATAACTAGATTTCTCCAACTATATCAGGGCTGCTAAAGAGTATGAATATAATTCTAAGACCGGATAAGGAAAATTAGTCTCCTTAGTGGCATTTATGAAGTACGTGCTGAGAGTCAGCCTAAGGAAGAGACTGGGGTTGCTGTTTCCTCAGCTCTCAAGAGTTACTCCTCTATGGCAGTGTTCTTCAGTAAGGCATTTAACATCAGCTCAAATCCTCTAACACTTAAAGAGGAACACCAAACACTCTATTCATTTACAATTGCTGGTGGTTTCTCCTTTGCAAACCAGCATTTCTTACCTGTTCCAGCTGTTTCTGAACCATGCTTTGCTGCTCTGTGACATGCTTGAGCTGCTCTGCATCCTCTTCTGGAAATTCACGCCCTGCCTTCTTGGCAGTACGCTGTTTAGCCGACAGGGCCTTCTTGGATTTTCTGTGTGCACCAATTTGTTCTTCAAGATATTTCTGCTGCATCTGGAGAAGCTGCTGGGTCTCTTGAAGCCATTCTTCATACTGCTTACGTTGTGAGTCATCTGAGGAAAAAGTTAAACATTTCATTTGTGTTAATTTTCTTGAATGCCACACTATAAAAGTTACACAAATCCATTTTGCAAAGAAATAAATTTTTACCTTGACCATTCAACAGAAAATTTGAAAAAATACTATATATCAGACCATTATTTATAATTGTAAGGTAGCAGATTTTAGAAAGATATGCAATTGAGAAATTAAGGGAATGTATATTCTTAGGACACTGGTTAAATTAACACTTATAAATATTACAAATACAATCTTTGAAAAGCAGAAGACTTTTGCCTAACAAAATGCTTTTTTCTACACAGCTATCAGTCTTGAATCCACAGCCAAATGATACATTAAGTTATATGTGCATTTAATTTAACTTTACAGAATTTATTTAAAGAGACAAAGTAAAACCTACTAAGATCCACAGCATGGATTAGGTAATCATTTCCCATGCTAATTTTCTTTTGTTTGGTTTTCCCTATCTTGTAATGATGAAGAAATGTACTAAACTGAAAGGGAGAGAATCCAAAATGTTTTGGAAAGGACCAATTTGAAGTCTATGTTTTATAAAGGAAATCTGTAAGTTAACAACATTGGTAATGTTTATTAATCTGTAACAAACTTCTACAAAAAACCAAATGGAGGGAATATTTAACCAAGTAAAAACCTTTTCTCTTCTATGGCTGCCCTTAGTATCTCCTCTTGCACAAATATTGCCCTCTTTATTATCTAAGGGCACTTCACTTTCACTGATGCCAAGTCCAAAAAAAAGAAAAAAGGTGGGGGGGGGGGGAGTGCAGGGAGTCATTTTATGTAGTAAAAAATTCTGAATATACCCTTTTGACTCACTACAAGACAAAGAAATGAGTAAGTACAATTCTTAGAAGGACATTAGCTGAAAATAACATCAATGATAACAGAAATTAGTCATACATTAAGAATCCAACCAAAGCCAATGGGCACAATAAAGCCAGAAAAAGCCAGTTGGTTATAGCAGTTTACTTGGTTTTTTATGCAAATACATTCAAATTATAATTATAATTAATACAGGGGGAATTTCAAAATGCCAGACTTTGGGTTTGTTCCTAAACCCAGAATTCCAGTATATGTATGAACTTGAAATCTAGACTACTAAATTTGAAGGGCATTTTTCAAGAACAGGCTTTTTCACAAGATTTCAGAAGTTCTGCTTCTGGTAGAATGAGACCTACCGCAAGGAAAGCCTTTCTGGTTTCTGGAACCAGGAGAGCAGAGGTGAGCAAAATGAAAGATAATGGTGAAAAAAGTTAGCTAAACAGTCTGAAGATTTCAGAAAGGTTCAGTCTGGGGAGAACTTTAAATACTATCCTGAACCACCTTGGTACCCCTACAGATAACTAAGAAGATTCAGTGGCATCCTGCACACTTGACCTCTATACCATGCTGCTAACCCATCTTATGTCTACGCACATTCCCTTTGTTTTTCCCATTCAGTGTCCTTGTCACTTGGGCAAACAGTTGTGAGAACAAAAAGTAGCTTAATTCTAAAAACTGTAAAGTGCCCAATCTAGAAACAAAAACAGCAACAATATTAAAGAGAATAGGGAAGATGATTTTTCTGTACTAAAGTACTTATTTCTAACATAATTCTTCATGCACAGCAGAGAGAAAGCAATGAGAATGCATGCCTTCAGGAAAAAAATGCCTGATAAGGGCAGTGATGTTTTGATAAAAGATGAGGGCACTTAAGGTTTAAGTAATACAGCTAAACTAACTCCGAGGATTTAGAACGACACGAATACTGTGAATACAGGCAATCCCCAAAGAACATGTAACTTCAATTAGATTTATACTTACTGACAAAGCCTGGACCAAAATTTGGAGGATTAGGCCTAGAAATCTGATGTGTTATACTGCCATCCTAAAATGAGTAAAATTTACAAATATGTTTATTCCACGCTTGAGTTAATGGGAAAAAAAACTTTTAAAAGAGGAAATAAAATAGAAGGAAAAAAAAAACCTATAAGTTCCTAAGACATCTTTAAAATTTTGATTTCTATAAAAACTTAAATGAACTTAGTGAGATGACAATTTCTGAAAATGTATTACTATCTCTAACTATATTGCATTGTAGATTTTCACTTAGAAAATCATGCTTAAAGGAAACCATTAGTCATCAGAAATATAATGGTAGGATAAATCAGAGTTCATTAATGCTAACCTAGAGATCCACCCAAAAACTCACTTTATGATAATAAAAAAAAACCTAGTTTCTTTCATATTAAATGCCACCCACACCACAAAATCATTTGTAACAATAACACAATATCTTTGAAATGTATAAATTGTAAGTTTAAAATGAGAAATATTAGCTTGATTTTCCCAATGTTTTGTTTCTTTCAGGGTGCCTGATTAAGCAGTTATTCATAAAATAATTTTCTGGCAATCTCAATAAACTTTATTCTGAAAGTCCTTTTATCCAGTTGTATCAAATTCTGTTAGACATATGCTATATACAAAGTAACAATTATGAATGATACTAGTAGCCAGAACGCATTAGGTGCAATCTTTACAATACTGTAAAGTAGGTGTCTAACACTGGACAAGACAGAAAACAAAGATTAATGAACTTGGGCCTGGGCTGTGGTGTAGTGGTTAAAACCGCTGTGTGCAGTGCCGGCATCCCATATGGGAGCAGGTTCAAGACATGGTGGCTCCATTGCCAAACCAGCTCCCTGTTAATGTGCCTGGAAAGCAGTGGAGAATGGCCCACGTGCTTGGGCCCTTGCACCCAGGTGGAAGATCCAGAAAAAGTTCCTGGCTTCGGCCTGGCCCAGCTCTGGCCACTGTGGCCGTTTTGGAGAGTATTCAGATGGAACATCTCTCGCTCTCTTTGCCTCTGCCTCTCCCTCTAACTCTTTCAAATAAAAAAATAAAACTAAAAAAAAGGAGAAAAAAATTAATGAACTTCCCAAAACTGCATAGTAAATTCATGGTGGAACTGGGATTTCTTTTAAACTCAGCTACAAAGCCTATACTTTTTGTACTGTACTGTATCAAATGGCCTCTTCCTTCTGTTAATAATGAACAGACTATTATTATCAGCATAATAAATCCTAAAACCTATGTGGCAGGGCAAAAAAGAAAATCTCAAAAGAACATATATAACAGGTAACTCTTTTTCTCTAGGCAAATTAAAAAAAAAATCACTTCTGATCTGATCATTAGACAATATATACAGGTAGAATGTCATAACATAATCCATAAATCTGCAAAATTACTGTCAATTACAATTTTTTAAAAAAAAATTGATGAAAATATTGTTCCAGATGTTGCTTGACAGTAAGAACATAGAATATTTCAATTTAAAACTGATTGTTATAAATGTTGTATATTCAAAAGCCTAAATTATTCCAAAGAATAGACAATGAATACCTATTTCTAAGTAGAATGATTATAATCATTTCTTACCATATAGCAGTTTTATATTTTAAATAAAATGGATTAATTGCAAAATAAAGACATGAGCATGTCTCTCTAGAGTAATCAATCAATGTATGTAAAGACAGAAACTATAAAAAGATTTTTATTTCTGCTGCATTGATAATATATCCAGATAGTGGTTTAAGGCTGCTGCTTCTTCCTAGGGGGGCCTCACTGTAAGAATGGGTTGTGAGGGACAGTTACACAGAGTGGTAACTGAAAGCAGTGTTACCTGAGTAACGCTCTGTGGGACAAGGCTCTGGCCTTCACCAGCCGGTGTTCCAGCCACAGAAGGGCCCATAAAGGGGAACCTGGGAAAAGGAAGCAGTAAGTAGCAGACCATGACTACCTATCAGCAAATTTCAGGCGCTGAACAGTTTTATCTTCATGGAAGAGAGCAGTGGCGATTGCCTTCTCCAGCAAAACATGTATTAAATTCTTATCCTTTCTATACCAAACAGATTTACTACTACTGCAAAACTATGGAGTGTAAATTCTTAGCACTTTTACATTACTTAAAATTCAAGCAAGACTCAGAGAAAAAGTATGTTTTCCCACAAGAAAGGCCGTGTTGAGCTACCTAGGTTAACTCAAGAGGTTATACTAGGACAGGTACCTCAATGAATCTTAAAATAAAACAAATGTGAGTCTTCAGGATAAAAATAGAGTGAAGATTTAGTTTCATTTCAGCAATCAAAATTTTTTCTTACTCTGAATTTTATTAATCTGCATTAAAAATTAATAGGTAGCTATTTTTTATTTTAAAATATAAAATGCATCTCAATTAAGAAATTTCACAATTAAGAAATTTTGACTTGATAGAACAAGTCAAAATTGGACACTGACCAAAAAAATCTATTTGGTTAAATATATTTGCCAAAAATATTACTTCCTCTACTTAAAGCTGTAAAAACACCAAACAGCCTGGGCCAGCTCTGTGGCATAGTGGGTGAAGCAGCCGCCTGCAGTGCTGACATCCCACATGGACACTGGTTCGGATCCTGCTACTCCACTTCTGATCCAGCTCTCTGCTTATGGCCTGGGAAAGCAGCAGAAGATGGCCAAAGTCCATGGGTACCTGTACCCACGTGAGAGACCCAGAAGAAGCTCCTTGCTCCTGATCGGCCTAACTCTGACCATTTTAGCCATCTGGGGAAAGAACCAGAGGATGGAAGACCACCCCCCCCACTCTCTGTGTCTGCATCTCTATAATCTTAAAAAAATACATTGCTTAACTGAAAACGTTTTCTCTACAAATGATTTAGCATAAGCATCAAGATAGATATAACACAATTTTCAAAATACAGTGGCCGACACTGTGGTGTAGTGGGCACTACAGCTGCTCCATTTCTGATCCAGCTCTCTGCTGTGGCCTGGGAAGGCAGCAGAAGATGGCCCAAGTCCTTGGGCCTCTGCACCAGCATAGGAGACCCATAAGAAGCAGCTCCTGGCTCCTGGCTTTGGATTGATGCAGCAGCTCCAGGCATTGCGGCCAATTTGGGAGTGAACCAGCGGATGGAAGGCCTCTTTCTCTCTTTCTGCCTCTCCTCTCTGTGTAGCCCTGACTTTCAAGTAAATAAATAAATCTTTAAATAATATCTATATATATTCCAAATATTGTACATTAATACTCAGAGTTCACAATAATTAAAAATTATTCACTTCCCACATGTTACTGTCCTGTCTGGGATGATCTCTTAATCTAATTCTCGATCACTGTCTGTCATGCTTATTCAACACATTATACTACCCCAAGAAGTGATTAGCTTCTGGTAAACAACATGGCACAGCTATGATGCTGATGGGCGTAAGATGCAAAAAGAGTTCTAATTCTGAGGTCTATTTTTTTAAAAAGTACAAAACAAAATTCAGCATTTTTTTTTCAACTATAGTGTCAAACTACAATATTACGAGTATCATGACTGTCACCAATAGACGATAAATAAAATTTTCCTAGCAAGTGTTGTAGATACCTAATAGGTCAATTAGAGTCATTACTTTGAAATTACTGTAGTTATCAGACTTAATGTTCAGTGCATTAAGAAGCACATATTCATATAGTGCAAGTTTTATATTTTATAAATATATAAATTTATATATAAATATAATATATAAAATATATAAATATATAATATATATAAATAATATATAAATATATTTATAAATATATAGAAATATAAATATATAGAAACAATTTCCGTTATAGTATATTTTTGGGTTTCAGGATTTAAAATATTCTAAGAATTTGAAATGTTTCAATGTAACATCGAAACAGTTCAAAACATAAAAAGGCTAAGAAACGCTGTGAAAGGGGCTGGTATTGTGTTGTAGTGGGTTACGCCACTGCCTAAGACACTAGCATTCCACAGGAATGAGTCCTGCTGCTCCATTTCCAATCCAGCTCCCTGCTAACGTGTCTAAGCAAGCAACAGAAGATGGCCCAAGCGCATGGACTCCTGCCACCCACGTGGGAAACCTGGATAGCTTGGCTTTGTCCTGGCCCAGTCCCAGCTGTTACAACTATTTGGAAAGTGAACTAGCAGATGGAAGATTGATTTCTCTCTCTCTCTTCCCCTAACTCTTTCAAATAAATAAATCTTTAAAAAAAAGAAAAAGAAAAAACACACTGATAGGGGAATAGTGCTATTAAATGATACTCAATGAAACTCCTTAGAAATAACTACCTTTCTTTTGATCTCAAAATATGATTCTTAATGATGTCCAAAGATTCTTAAAAACTGAAAAGAATTACAGTATTTAAGGATTAAAATTTTAAGTATGATTTCTGCAGATTTTATATGCAGTTCCATAAAAAACTTACAAGTTTTTAACCAGATAATTAGGATAAATTGAGGTCCTGTGCTACCATATTGACAGTTCGCAAATAGTGATCTACACAAAAAAATACACAGAAGAACCATTTCTATATTATGATTCAGCAGGTCTATAGTACTGCACAGAAACCTGCTTTAAAAACATTCCTACAGGGGTGGGCACTGTGGCATGGCACCACGAGTATCCCCATATGGGCACTGGTTCAAGTCCCAGCTATTCCACTTCCAATCCAGCTCCTTGCTAATGGGCCTGGGAAAGCAGAAGATGGCCCAAGTGCTTGGGGATCTGCACCCTTGTCGAAGACCCAGAGGAAGCTCCTGGCTCCTGGCTTTGGATTGGCCCAACTCTGGCCATTGTGGCCATCTGGGGAGTGAACCAGCAGATGTAAAACCTCTTTCTCTCTCTCTGCATCTCTGTTAACCCTGCCTTTCAAATAAATAAATATGTATATATAAAAAAAGAAACAATGTGTGTGGCTAACAATCAAATAATTATAATAGTCTCCTTTAATATATAATTCCCGAACCCTTTTGTTTTGCTAACAGTGTCAAGACTTACACATTCCCAATTACTATCTTCTAATAGTTCTTATATAATTCTTAGGATTTCTTGACTGATTCAAAATCAGTTTTGGTAGACTTTAAAGCTGAATTCACAGATGCCTCTAATCACTGAGAATCTTAACTAAAAATATCTTAGCACTAACAATTCTTAAAGTATTTTTAAAAGCACACACTTAAGTACTTTAGATTTCATGACTGACCAAGTCAATCCTTCCAAATCTTTGTTATATTTTATTGTTTACTCTCTCTGAAACTAATGGAAATTAATTTCTTGTACTTGTAGTACAGCATTTTTTATCTGATTATAATCGGCCGATATCACAATCAATATACATATTTATTGATCATTTTCAGGATAGATTCTTGAGTATCTGTTTGATCTTCTAGGAACTAGTGACAACTCCGTGCATATTTAGATGTCCAGCAGGTATGAGAAGCACGTCCACCTACCTGCTCATCACCATCGGTGGCATGCCCAGATTGTTTTGTGCCATCACTTTGTTTATGCCTTTAAGGGCTACCATTTTGGCTTTCATTATAGGATCTGTAATTGCATCAAAATCTGAAGAAGAAATATATTTAAAGTTACTTATTCCATAGTACTAAGAGATAATTTAAGTATCAAAAAACTATCTATAGATTCTTATACCTTACTTATCAATAATCATTATAGATTTCTGACCCAGATAAGAAACTATAAGATGATAACAACCTAATCTGAATTTTAAAACACTTCAATAATCTATAACTGAAGCATGCTTGAATACCTTAGTCCTGCAGGAATGAAAACAAGAAACCAGAAAAATTTAAGGGCAATTATAGCAATAAAAATCTATAGCACTGCAATTCCCTTTCATCCAACTTTTAAAATTCTAATCATTAATAGCATCTTTAGTAATGTAGTATCATGAAGGAGAATTTATAATTATTTAACACTTTAGAGGACAAATGTGTAAGGTTTTTGAGAATACATCCCTATAATAAGGAGAGGGTACTGAGAGACTTCTTTTACATATAAATAGAAAAAAAAAAGACTATATGATGAAATTGGTTTGTGTGTGTGTATTCCACAGCTTGGAATAAAGTATTCCTGACATGTACCCTGTGTTAATTCTTATTCTTCAAAGAACAAAAGCATTTTGATTGCATTGCTTTCATGTTGTTCTTGCTTTTAAAATAAGCAAGCCATTGGAACTAAGTTAAAAAGGCTTGTATGGCAAAAAATGGCCAAGCATTTGTTGCACACAAAGGAACACCAAAGCGGCTGATGCTGTGGTGCAGCAGGTTAAGCCTCTGCCTGCAGCACTGGCATCCCATACAGGTGTCAGTTTGAGTCCCAGCTGCTCTACTTCTGATCCATCTCCCTGATAATGCACCTGGGAAAGTAGCAGAGGATGGTCCAAGTGGGCCCCCGCACTCACGTTGGAGACCAGGAAGAAGCTCCTGGCTCAGGATTGGCCCAGGTACAGCTGTTGTGGCCATCCGGGGAGTGAACCAACAGATGGAAGACCTCTCTGTCTCTCCCTCTCAAATAAATAATCCTTAAAAAAAAAAAAAAAAAAAAACTAAAAAGCTGTATTTCTATCATAATTTTCTTTAATTCATTTTTTCATGATTCTGAAAATAAATAGTAGCAATAGTTGAAAGGTAGGAACTAAAAATCAGAATCCACTTTCCATTAAACAATATTATAAACAATGGGACTGAGTGAGGTCTTCAACTCATAGTTTTAAATCTCTTTGATTCAAATGGATGGAACCTGCAACTCTTAACTGCTTTCATTTTAAAGCTCCAGGAAGAAGAAAAAACACTGTTAGTGTTATAATCCAAATATAAATTTAATAATGAGAAATTAGTGAATTACAAGACAGACTAATGCACAAAATAACATATGTTGGGATTCAATGGAATTCCTACCAATATTAGGGAAGAACGGCTCTGACCGCTGACGAATCATGGCTTGCATTTGTCTTTGCTGCTGCTGTTCTTGTCTTTCTTGATCCAAAAGATCCTGTAGAAGCAGAGGTTGTTCTTCAAGGAGAAGGGGCCTTTCTCTATTCTGCTGGGCTAACGTTTGGGGAATCATTAGCTGTGGAGGCACAGATGTGCCACTGGTACCAGACTGACTTGTTAGAGGCATTGGTTGATTTGTAGGTTTTCCTGTACCCAAATTGTGGTTAACAGTTGACTGACCCTGAATGAATGCTGGATTCACCTGCACACCCTGAGAAAAAGCATGGTTTACCCTAGAAACCACTGTTACATTAGAATTAATGGTATTATCCAGAACATGGCCAGGTGGTGCCATTAAAGTAGGAGGCAAACTTGATACATGGTTGGATGGTGAGGCTGGCAAAGTTGCTGGTGGAGACCCCAATGGCCTTATTTCTGAGTTATCAGATTTTTCAGTAGCCAGTAAACTTGAAAGAACTGGAGTTGATCCAGTTAACCCACAAGAACTTATTACGTCTTGAGAGGGCAGTGAAGTGGATCCTTGAATGACACTTGGGTTAGAGCCAACAGTTTGGTTAGTTCTTTTCTCAGGTACATCTGGATCAGAAGGTTGCAAGGAAGTCTTTTCTCCATCACTTAGGTTTGCATGAGTAGAAGCCTGTGAGCAGGAAGTGTCAATACCATCTTTACTATCACCACTTTTCTCAATTTCACATTTGGTTTCCTCTTTAGTATCGGGAGACAGTACTTCAGTTTTTACCTCATTATTAACACTGGATTTTTTCTGCGGTGAATGTTTATCAGCAAGAAACACAGTTTTGTCCTCTTGGTCCTTGTTTTTTGGTTCAACAGATACACACTGATTATCTAATTTATCATCAATTGGAACATTTAGGTCAAGTTCTTCATTAAACATGCTTTTCTTATCTCCGAGGTCAAGTTCCGGATCTGTGTATGCAATGATATCAAACTCTCCTGACCGTAAGAGGTCATCCAGGTTGGGATCATTAGTTTCCAAATTACCTAAAGTATCCAATTCATCTCCCTTGCCATCCTCTGTATCTAAATTTAAATTTTCAAGATCTTCGTCATCTAAGTCTTTGACTTCGACCCCCTCAAGGTCTTTAACATCCAGCTCTTTCACAGAAGGGTCATCAGAATCAAGCTTTTCTTGCAGACCATCGGATGGCTGGTTGGTTATCTGCAGACCATCGGATGGCTGGCTGGTTATCTGCAGACTATCAGACGTTGTTTCAGCTGGTGCAGATGCTGACAAAGAGGCCTCTGGAAACTCACCACCTAAGGGATGACTCAGAGACCTCACAACCAGAGAAGATGGATGGACAGGATGACTCTGCTCCTGCTGAGAGGGTGGCACTTGTTCCAAGTTTGGATGCATAGGCAGCTGATTAGGTAGACCTTGGGGAGCCCGTCGAATGGAGTCTGGGTGTCTAGGACCTGGAAAGTCTGGTCGAGGAAGGAAGCTTCCATGTCTCAGATGAGCAGGTGGCTCTAGAACGCTGCCAGGAGAAGCGCCGAAGGGTGGCCGTGGCCTTCCATCAGGAGCCCTGTGCCTCAGTTCAATGAATGCTTGACCCAGTATGTTGTGCTGCTGAACGGGCAAACTCGGTGGTGGGAAATGCTGTGCAAGTCCAACTGGATTATTCATCTGAGAGTTATTTAAAGGCCTAGGCATATCTACAGATACTGATCTTCTTAGCTGTGGAAGAACTCCAGATCCTTGTAATTGCTGAGGAGGCACAAGAAAGCGGTCCTGACTTGACATGGTACCATGACCACCTCCTGGAAATCCAAATCTAAAAGAAAAAAGGTAAAAAGTATTAAACAGAATTCAAAGTTAAGTTGAAAAGGGAAAAGCCATTCTAAATTTCCGTTAAAAAAATGACTGTGGCCAAATACAATGACTTAGCAAAAGTATAACTACAACAGTTAGAAAGAACTGAAAAGTATTCAAAAAGAATAGTATCCAAATATAAGTAAGACTTTACTCAAGCACTCTACAACCGAAGACTTATCTGAGTTCTACAGGCTTAGGTAGCATAGAACAAATAGATGGAATGAACTGATCAAAAATAAGATTACTACTATTGGAGTCTGTGATTTTTTAAAACTTTTGTTTATGTATTTGAGAGGCAAAGAGAGAGAAACAGAGATCTCCCGTCTGCTGGTTCACTCTCCAAATGCCTATGACAGCTAAGGCTGGGTCAAGCTGAAATGAAGAACTAGAAACTCAATTTGTGTGTCTCTCATGTGGGTGGCAGGAAACCAACTCTTTAAGCCATCACCTGCTGCTTCCCAGGGTGTGCGCTAGCAGGAAGCTGTAATGGGGAGCAGAGTTATGACTTGAACCAAGGCACTCTGACATGGCAAGTGGACATCCCAAGTGACAGTTTAACCACTAGGCCAAACACCCACCCCTGGACACTTTTGGCTATATTTAAGGAGGTTCTTTGGAGGAAGCTGATTTGAATGTCTGAATGAAGATAGAATGTCTACACCAAATTACACTAGAGATACTTATAGGACAATGTACAAGAGACCACAAAGCCAAAGATGTGACCACTGGACAGATTAAATGCACTTGCTTGACAGCAATAAGTGGCAGTGAAAGAAAGACGGGCATTACCAAAGAAGGTTAAATAATTTACCAAACTATTTGTTATTTATCTTATATTGCATGTTAGAAAGGATTATAGGCAACAACAAAGAAACAGAAGACACACAAGAGGCATAAACTGTAACTAATGTGGAAGAAAAAAGGAAAATATGGATAAGAATGTAAAAGCGAGAGTTCTTTCATAAAACTAAAAAGCATATCTTAAATATCTCTTGGTTACAACTATAACAACTATCTGCTACAACTATAAATTTGGGCTTCTACCTTTCTACCAGGCACTTCAAAGCAAGAAACATGGAGGCCATAGTTGTGGCACAGGTTAGGCTGCTGCTTGGGATGCTTACATCCCATGTTATCCTTGCTACTCTGCTTCTGATGATCCACTTCCCTGCTAAGGCACCTGGGAAGCAGCAGATGATGGCTCAAGCACCCGAGTCCCCACCATCTACATGGAAAACCTGTATTGAGTTCCTGACTCCTGGCTTTGGCCTGGCCCAACCCTGGATACTGTGGACAATGGGCAGAGAACCTGCAGATGGAAGATACCACCCACCTCCATCACTCTGCTTTTCAAATAAATAAATGAAAAACTTTAAAAAAGAAAACACGAACAGCAAACATAGCCATGATCATCATCAACTTAAAAACCCAATTTGATCATGAAGTCCATAATGTAAAATATCCTTTATGTTAAGAAACCTGGTCAAACACTGTACAGTATTAAATTTAAAAGGCAGAAATTTGGGAAGAGGACAAATCTCATCATTCATTACATCACAGGAGATTTAACTTGTATGTGGGAGCCACAATTTGGAGGATGTGATTTAAATGGTGATATACTATATTACTTATGGAAATAAGAAAATCCTAATATGATTAATAACAAAGGGAATGGTTTTAGAAACTTTAGAATTCTTGGGGGGAAAAGTATATGACTTCTCATTAGAAGGTAACATTGATTATATTGCAAAGGAGAGAAAGAAGGAGAAAGCATTAAGAACAACTTTTGATTAACAGTAACTGTCAAGTTTCTCCTAGTAGCAATTTAAATCAGGCAGGAAGTTAAAAGCATTACCTAAATCCATGTGGTCTCATCCCCATACCAGCAACATCAGGAGGATAGGGTCCTCGCTGATCTTTCGGGAAAACAGAGTATCTAGGTCCTAGAGAAGGGACAATAGGAGATCTCATGTTTCCAGGATAGGGAGGTGGAGGTCTACTGAAAGCCTGGTTGATATTCTCTGGCTGCCAGTGCTGAAGGGGACCTGGATGACCAACTACTGATGAATCCTGTGGTCCCTTCTCTTGTCGACTAGCAATCTTCTTCTGCTGTTGCTGTTGGAGAATGATTTCACGTAACTTCTGCCGCTAAGTAGAAAGAAACAAAAATCACTGGGGTTTCTAACAGCTTTTTAAAATCCTAATGCTTTCATTAAGTTGCTTTGTTAAAAATGTCTACATACTTCAAAGTTTGGTAAAATACTAGTTACCTATATAATAGACTATGAAATATAAATTAATAATTTGGCTATGTCTTTTCTTCTCTACTACTATAAAACTGAACACTTTTGTATTTACAGATTCCCTTACAAATCTGTGAAGACTAAAATGAGATACAGAATAAACCAAGTCAATTGGTGTTAATCTCACCAAATTCATTTGTCTTCCTTGCAATATGACAAAGTCTAGAGAATACAAAAAAAAAAAAGGAGAAAATTTAACAGCTGTGAAGAATTACTTAGTCTGGGGCTGGTGCTGTGGCACAGTGGGTTAACCCACTGCCTGCAACACCAGCATCCCATATGGCACTGGTTCAAGTCCTGTCGGCTCCATTTATAATCCAGCTCCCTGCTAATGCACTTGAAAAAAGCAGTGGAAGATGGCCTAAGTGCTTGGGCCCCTGCACCCAAGTGAAAGACCTGGATAGGACTCCTGGCTTGGGAATGGTCCACCCCCTGGTGAGTGAACCAGAGGATGGAAGATATCTGTATCTGCCTCTCCCTCCGAGTAAATCTGCTTTTCAAATAAATAAATAAATATTTGAAAAAAATCAGAAATCACTTTTTCATTAGTTTCCTAATGATACATATTAAAACATCTGAAAATATATAATGGTTTACCTGTCTCAATTTCTCTGTATCTGCCTGAGACATATTTATAGTATTCTGTGTATCAGTTACTCCTGAAGTTGGTTGGGAGACACTGGAAAACTGTTGGCTTTGAGAATTCATTGGAGAATTTGAAGATGCACTGAAATTCCCCTCCGACCCAGGCCTTGACTGGTCAGCAACATCATGAGCAGCTTGACTTGTTCCAAAGGAGTCAGCCTGAGACCGCGGAGTCATTGGAGGCTGGTCATAGGCATCGCGCGCAGAAGGGGACACATGGTTAAACGTGTCTGAAAGACCAGGTCCAGGTGGCCGAGGGAGAGTTGGTCCTCGGTTTTGGGAAGCTGCCAGGAAAGGATCCTGATTTGGCACGAGGACTGGTCTTGTCACTGAAGATCTAGTGAAACCCTCTGAAATCCTTGGCCTTGGTCCTGCTGGTGGCTGAGAGTAAGGACCAGAAACGCCAGGTCTCGGTGTTCCAGGAGGATGAGCGTACGGATCAGAGTGCCTCTGATTAGCTGAAGGCGTTACAAACAAGTCAGTTTGTGCTGACGGCCTAGGGGTTGATGGCTGCTGATTATATGGATCAATAGTTGTAGGTCTGGGAGTTCCGGGAGGTTGAGAGTAAGGATCAGGATTGGACCGAGATGTTCCTGAGGGTTGCGAATAAGAATCTACAACAGGTCGTGGAGTTCCAGGGGGTTGGGAATATGGGTCCTGAGATGTTGGTCTTGATATGGTTGTAGGCTGAGAAAAAGCCCTTGAGCAATGGGCAAAAGATTCATTCAGTGCAGGGTGTGGGGTTAAGGGAGACTGGTTGAAAGGATCATTTGATTGACCATGTGAAAAATTATCTGCAGGTCTTGGTGTCAAAGCAGGTCTTTCATAAGGGTCAACAGACAACCGCCTTGAGGCCTGTGCCACTGATCCGTAAGGGTCCTGAGAAGATGGAGGAGGCTGCATTGGAGTCTTAAAAGGTCCAGAACTACTATCCAGAGGTGCAGGAGTCAGCAGGGCTCGTGCATATGGGTCAGGTATTCGTTGTCTTTGAAACACATCTGCCCTGGGAGATGGCTTAGTAAAGTGATCGTTAGCTCCAGCTGCTATGGGACCTTTGGCAGTTTGTTCTGAAACTATGGGAGACCGGGGTAGGCTCAAGGGTTTTGGAAACTGATCAATCATCATAGGCCTTGGTGTGTCTGGAGGTTTTGCATAGGGGTCACTATTTGTTGTGGAGGAAGAACATAAATCTCTGACTGGGGATGGCCTATTTGTTGTTGTCTCATTCATCTGAATGGGCCTAGATACTGATGATAAAGGCGTACAGTTTTCCACCTGTGCAACAGAATTTCTTCTGGGAAAACTATGACCCCCAGGAGGTGGTCTAGGGGTGCCAACCATTTTTGCATAAGGATCCATTGGAGATGGTGGGCGAGAGTTAGGTGAAAACATTTGTGGTGAAGGTGGCTGAGAAGCCTGAGACTGAGAGAGGTTTTCCTGAACAGGAATTCGGGATGGGGTTGGAGGAGGAGGTGGAGCTTGTGGTTTTACAAACACATCATCTGAAGATGTAGAAGTAGGAGTACTGGGTAGCTGTTTTGTAAACAGTTCTTTATGGAATGACTGTGCAGGAGACAGGTTTCCATTGCTAGGCTGCGGTGTCAAGGGACTCTGCACCCCACTACTAGGTGTATCTGAACCAGACGGCACCAGGAGATGCTGAGATCCAAACTGCTGCTGCTGCTGCTGCTGCTGCTGCTGCTGCTGTTGCTGCTGCTGCTGCTGCTGCTGCTCATTTTTCACTTGTTCAAGCTTCTGCGTAGCTTCAATCTTAGCCTGCTGCTTACTCTTCTGACGCATTTGCTGTTAAAATAGAAAAGAAAGAGCAATCATGGGGTTAAGGAAGAGAATGAACACTGTGGATGGAAAGGCAACAGAAAGTTCACTTGGTGATTTGTCATTTGTTCGGTGGATGCCCACTCTTGTTAGTACTCATTTCACACTGAACAAGATCATTCATTCTAGACTTAAAGGTATTTCCTTGTGATCAAATTACTCTGCCCCTCTTAATAAAGTATTGCTATGTTTCAAGTTGGAAAAAATAAATAATTTTTTTCATGTCAGCAGCTACTCAACTGCTCCCGTATTAGATTATAAATTCCTAAAAAAGGAAACCATAGTTCAATATAGCACAACAACGTCATCCTTAAGGAAATACACAGTTTATAATATTTAAATGAAATTCCCAAGTCAATTTAAGTGTAATTTTGTTGAAAAGGGAAGTAGGTCTATGCTAAATCAGATCTTCATGTAATAAAGACCTATATTCAGAAACAATGTCATAAACATTTCTCAAGAAAGCCAAAATGCAACTTTTAAAAAATCAAAGTGCCAGGAAATTCCATACCTGTCTAAATTTCCATTCCTGTTCATGTTCTGATTCTCTTTGCTTTAACGGATCTTTAAAAAGATCTGCATCAATACGAGAGCTGGGATCGATGCTGTCTTGCTGTTGCTGCCTTTTCATGGAATCATTGGACATCTGTACCTTATTAATGCGTAGAGCAGCTCTGTTATCTCTGGCCTTTTGCTTTGACAAAAAGAAAAAATTCAATTCTCAGGATATGTTCATATGTGCTTTTAAAAAACTGAAAATAAGACAAAACTATAGTGAAGATTATTCAATGAAAGCAAGAAAAAGGTAAAACAGCTAAATGTAGCGGAAATACTGGTCTTTAGAATCCACAGTCCCTCCTAAGAGCAATCTGTACACTAACCCATCTTATCTTCACAGTGCATGTCACCTATCACTTGAAGACATGTTTATGTCTGTCTATTGGAATTAGGCTAAAAGATTCCAAGTGGAATCTAATATTTTTTATCCTAACATTCTTAACACATCCTAACAAAATGGAAGAATTGATGTGACCCTACTTTTAGAGAAAATGAATATATTGAATTAATAAAAACTGAACATTTGAATCATTAAAACAAAATCACTGAAAAACACTAAAAATATCATTTAACTACATTAAAATCGAATTAAAGACAAAATATGGCAAATCAAATATATTTGTGTGTATGTACCATAGACACAAACATGTTCTTTACAAAGTAGTCATTATAACTATGAATATAATGCTTTAGGGATCATGGTCTTAAAATAGCTGAATTTCAATCTTCAACATCCTGGTTAACTAGCTTATAAAAATGTCACGCTTATACTAAGATACAGTAAGTTAGGATATCAGTATAAAAATGAAGTGATTTGTTAGTTGTACAAGTATTAACTGGCATATTCTGCAAATCTACTGAAGTATTTTGTTTAAAGATGTAACAAATGGTTTTTAAAAATACCACATATGGTGCTCTTTCCTGTGAGCTTGCTTTCCTCCACAATTTAGCAATCTGTTTCACTCTTGTGGTCCAGTCTACAACAAAAGAACAAAATATTTCAGAACCATGAGAATAAAGTGTTGCAAAAATATTGATAAGCTGCAGTTGATCTTAGGTCATTTTTTACACTTCATTAATGATGTATTGTAGGTTAAGCATTCCTAATCAGAAAACAAAACGCTGCGAAGGCCAAAACTTTTTGAGCACCAACATCATACAGTGACAATTCTCATATGACAGGGTCCGGTCAAAACACAGGTAGATGGGCCGGTGTCGCGGCTCACTTAGCTAATCCTCCGCTGTGGTGCTGGCACCCCGGGTTCTAGTCCCGGTTGGGGCGCTGGTTCTGTCCCAGTTGTTCCTCTTCCAGTCCAGCTCTCTGCTGTGGCCCAGGAGGGCAGTGGAGGATGGCCCAAGTGCTTGGGCCCTGCACCCACATGGGAGACCAGGAGGAAGCACCTGGCTCCTGGCTTCTCACTTGCACAGCACATGGGCCGCAGAACCCATTTTGGGGGTGAACCAACAGCTCTGTCTCTCTCTCACTAACTCTGCCTGTCAAAAAAAAAAAAAAAAAAAGAAGAAGAAGAAGAAGAAAAAAACACAGGTAGATGGCAAGCATTTGGCCTGGGTTCAAGTCCAGGCTCTAGTCCCCATTCTATCTTCCTGTTAATGTGCATCCTGGGAGGCAGCAGGTGATGGCTCAACTTGTTGAGTCTAACTCCCATGTGGGAGATTTGTATTGAGTTCCTGGCTCCAGACTGGCCCAGCCCCGGCCCTTTGTTAGCATTGGGGGAGTTAACTTTTTTTGAATTTATTTATTTGAAAGTCAGAGTTACAGACAGAGACACCTTCCATCCATGGTTCACTCCACAGATGTCTGCAATGGCCAGTAGTGAGTAATGCTGAAGCCAGGAGCTTTATCCAGGTCACCCATGTAGATGGCAGAGGCCCAAACATTTGGGCCAACTTCCACTGCTTTTTCTAGGCCATTTTAGGGGAGTTAGATAGGATGTGGAGTACCCAGGACTCAAATCGGTGCCCATATGGTAATATTCACTATGCCACAAAGCTGGCCCCAATTGTCTTTCTCTATCAAATAATTTTTTAAACCACACAGATGCATAAACTAATCACTCTCAGTCTCCCTGTATAAGATGTATATGAAACACAAATAAACTTCATGTTTAGACTTCAATCCTACCCACAAAATATACAAAGTATATATATATATATATATAAATATTCCAAAATCTAAAAAAACAAATAAAAATGCAAAACTATTCTGTAACCAAGCATTTTTTGGCAAAACAGATACTCCAGTAAGTACTATGTGACATTTTTAAACAATACAAAATTTCTGGCACACCCAAGAAGTATTTTCTGAATGAAGTGCCTGTGCGTTTTTAATAATCAGGCTTGTAGAGTTGGGACAATTTTAAATTCAAGAGGCTGAGCAGCCAAAATAAATTTAAACCAAATATAATAATTTATCTTGACCATGTCAAACACTACCAGAACCAAGGTACGTTTTGTAAATGATATGTAATAACAGAAAACTATCAATTTGACTTGAAGTAACTACAGACATCTTGCCAGTGTTGTATTCAAAAAATACATGGAAAAGTAATGATTTCAAATCATTTCTACAAAATTCAGTGTCATGATGGTATAAAACTGGGTAATGTACTGCGTTAAGCTGCTGCCTGTGATGCCAGCATCCCATATGGGCACCAGTTCACAACCTGGATGTTCCACTTCTGACCCAGATCCTTGCTAATGGCCTGGGAAAGCAGAAGACGGCCCAAGTGGTTAGGCTCCAGCCACCCATGTGAGAGACCTAAACAAACTCCTGGATCCCAGCTTCAACCTAAACAAAACCCAGTCATTGCAATCATCTGGGACTGAATCAGTGGAGAGAATCAATCAATCAATCAATCTCTCTAGCCCCCACCACTCTGTGAACCCTTTCACTAAATAAATAAATCTTAAAAAAAAAAAAAAAAAGTAAATTTGGGGTGAGATCAGTTATATGTACAGAAATTATTTACTCCATTTTTTTTAATTTTTATTTTTTAATTTATTTGACAGGTAGAGTTATAGACAGTAAGAGAGAGAGAGACAGAGAGAAAGGTCTTCCTTCCATTGGTTCACTCCCCAAAAGGCTGCTTCGGCCAGCGCTGCACCGATCTGAAGTGCCAATCAGAAGCCAGGAGCCAGGTGCCTCTTCCTGGTCTCCCATGAGAGTGCAGGGGACCAAACACTTGGGCCATCCTCCACTGCCCTCCTGTGCCACAGCAGAGAGCTGGACTGGAAGAGGAGCAACCAGGACTAGAACCTGGTGCCCATGGGATGCCAGCACCGCAGGCAGAGGATTAACCAAGTGAGCCACGGTGCCGGCACCTCAATATATTTTAAAAAGGAAAAGTTTCCAAAAAGCAGGTGAAACTACAAGTCATTTGGTCGAACAACATGGTTAATACAGTACAAAATTGGCACCTGCTTGCAGAATCTTTAAAAACGTTGCTTTTTAATTTAAAAGGCAGGCACTGAGAAAAAGACAGATGTGCCTGGGAGAGCAGCAAAGGATGCCCCAATTGCTTGGGGCCCTGCACCCACATGGGATATGTGGAAGTAACTCCTGATTCTTGGCTTTGGCCTGGCCCAGTCTCAGCCACTGAGGCCATTTGGGGAGTGAACCAGTGGGATGGAAGATATCTCTCTGTGTAACTGTGACTTTCAAATAAATAAATAAATCTTTAAAAAAGTAAAGAAACCACATGGGTGGCAGAGATCCAACTACCGACCCACTACCACTGCCATGCACAGTGCACATCAACAGGAATGAGAAGCAGGGTCAAGACCTGAAACTAGGCACTATGATACGGGATGCAGCAATCCGACTGCATCTCAGCTGCGCTGTAACCACCTGACCTGACAACGTGCTGACTGATACATGACATTGGGTGTATGTGCAAGTTTGTGTGTGAAGCCAGTAATTTCTAAGCAATGATGAAAGGTTTTATGACTGACTAACTTTGAAGGTTTCTAAATTTGACTTAAGCTCAGAAATAACTGAACTTAAAGTTTCAAGGGGCTGATGCCACCATGGCTAAGCCTCCGTCTGCACCACAAGTACCACACAGGGTGCCAGTTGGTGTCCTGGCTGCTCCACTCGTGATCCACCTCTCTGCTACAGCCTGGGAAAACAGTGGAAGATGGCCCAAGTCTCTGGACCCCTGCACCCACATGAGAGATCCAGAGGAAGCTCCTGGCTCTCAATCGGCCTGCCTCCGGTCACTGTGACCATTTGTGGAATGAAGCAGCAGATCAAAAACCTTTCTCTTTGTTACTCTAACACTGCCTGTCAAAAAAATAAATAAAATAAAAGGTTTTAAATACAAAAAAAATTAAAGGAAAACGGGAATATTCCTTTAAGAGACATTACTACACTAAACCATGATAAGGCAGCACTCAATTTATTTCTATACATAATGAACAAAGTGCCACAGGGAGAGCAATCCAAAAGGGCACTTAGACAACTATCAAGGGTCATTCACAGGAATGGTACTTTCAGACAAACTTGTAGTAAACTGAAAGGGATAATGTGACAGCTGATAAACTACTGCAAGACAGAATTTTAACGTTTTAATCCTGGCTTATCTGACAACATGAACTTAAAGTAACAGAACTGGGGGAGAAATACGGTCCAGTGACTAACACACCAGTGAGGAAGCCCACACTTCATATTGGAGCACCTGAGTTTCAGACCTAATTATGGCTCCTCAGTCTAGCCAGCTTTGTGCTGTTGCAGAACCTTGGAGAAATCTATGGTAGCTCAAGGAAGGGGGATCCTGCCACTCACATGGGATACCTGAAATGAGTCTGGCTTCTGGCTTCTGTCTTGACCCAACCCCAGCTGCTGTGGCATTTGGTGAATAATCAGATGAGAGCACACTGTCTACCTGTATCTCTGTCTCTTTAATAAAGAACTCTTAGGTTGGAAATGTGATCATTTCATTAATGGAAGCTATCTTTTTAGGAAATACGAAAATAGATGCTGGGTCTAGAACTAAGAAAATACAAGATGCTTTTAGGAAATCTCCACATTGTACATATCATACCAGACAGGGGTTCTCTGTTGCAGACAAAGATAAATAAAGTGCTAATAGCTGAGCGAACACTGTAAAAAAACAGATAGCAACAACATATCCACTGCTTACCAGGGAATTCTTCCTTTAAATTGGGGAAGTTAATGTTGGTGTAGAGAACGGGTGCTACTGTTGCCATCTCGCCCAGAGCCTCCTCCTTCTCCCACTTAAGAGTACTTCTTTGGGCATTTGACATTGTGTCACTCTCTCCTTCCAGAGTGGGAGCTGATGACGTCCAAGAGCTGCTGGGATCACTTGCTATTGGATTAAATGTTGGATTTTTATCCCTGGCAAGAAATAAACATCTTCAGTTCATAAACATAAAATAACTTTCTAATACTATGCTCAAATCCAACATAAAACAAACTTTACTATAAAATAGCTAAATGCAACCTGTCTAATGATATTTCACAAAAACTCACAATAGATCCAACACATACATGCAACATAATCTATGCCTAAAATGAGGGCTCTTCAAAAAGCTAATAGAAAATATATAATGGAAAAATGATGCACAGATTTAAAATTTTTTTACACCAATATAAACTTAACTTTTAATTCCATTTCAACAAACTTTTAGAAGTACCCCTGTAATTTAAAGACTAATTTATACTGCAATACAAGTATTACTGTAATTTATGTTTTCATAGAAAATAAGGCTTTTAAATACCTGATATCAGTATAAGGGGACTGTGCTACAGCAGAGTAAGTTCCCAGTCCACTACCAGGAGGCAAAGAGTTATGTGGGAGATGAGGACTGGGTCCAATAAGGCCATTCATGAGTGGCATCCTTGAAAACACATCTTAGGAGAAGAAAACAGTAATACAGTTTGTATATTATTAAAAAATACCAAACCACTAAAATAACCACCAAAAAAATCTTTAAATGCTATTTAAAAGTAGGACTTTCTTCAATATCATACTGTATACTACTTAAGGGTGAGTTCTGGTTACAAAATTTTGAAATATGAACTCTATAATTATATTTACTTCATTACAATGTACTAGAAATAGCATGGTTTTTGAGAGCCTACAGTGCTAGACGTGAATCTTAACTTTGATACTCGTTAGAAGCAGAATGGATTTCTATTTGATTTTGTATGTATGGCTTCATTGAGATAATATATATAGGGACCTCAACGTGGTGTTTGCTAAGCTATTCAATATATATTAACTTCAGGAAAAAGAATGAGTCACGACAAATGTTGCCTTCATCAAAGATTATTTTTCTTCTTCATTAAAAATTTCCTAAAAGTGTTCCTTATATTTTATACCTGTTCCTCTTAAAATAAACAACCATCTAAAATCCTTAAATACTAGCACTTTCCTCAATATAGTTTTCTACAAGCAACATTTCACTCATCAATTAGACAATGACTACTAAAAAACGTATACATTCTATTTTTAGCTTAATTTTTGTTACTTACTGTTCATCCCCAATGGATTCTACCTCCCATTCCAGCTTATTCATAAGTTTCAAATACCTTATCATTTTCTTTCTAAAGAGACATGAGGCCAACCAAAAGACCACCTTGTGTTTCCTGAAAACTCTCCACAAATGAGTAATTCCAGTTTTTCTTAGTAAATGTCTACTTATCTAAAATAGTTGGAAATAAGCTAACTGATCTTATTAGAGTAGCTTCCCAGGGAGGAAAATGTATATGTATCTTTAAAGAGCCCCCACAACTAATGACAAATGATGATTTCTGGAGATATAATCTATAAATACATGGCCCCAGTTAATTGTTGTAACTCACTAGCATTATTATAGAAGATATATACATCACCAATTAGACAAATGGCAACACAGTACAGATTTGGCTTGTATCTGGAGTAGACAGAGAATTCCCAACCTAATCACTTTGCCACACCATCGGAGTAAAAGGAAAACCAAGAACAATGTTTCATACACAAATGTTTCATGTATAATGTCCTTTCCCCTAAACCATATCATCTAAGTTCTATGGGATCTGTAAGGATACTGATACTCATACACAAGGATTTAATACTGTATACTACTACTTAAATCCAGACAACTATCTTACTTCCAGAATAGAGCTTATCCTATGAAAATGCCAAAACTAGATCCACTGGATCAGGATCTCACAATGACAAATGTCTAATGAAATGGTAGTTTACTCCAAGAATTTCTGGTTTTATTGGAAACAGAATGCGTGCATTTATTTTCAGCCTCAGTGAGAAGTTGGTTCCATTAAGTAATCTGAGATTTCAATGAAAACCATCCAATGTGTGCCATGTTGTTAGGATAAACAGAAGTCTCTCTGTTGGTAATGAGAATGTGATACATCTACTGTAATCAAAATATGACTACTCTAGCATGGAAAGGTCTCCTCATAATAGCTACTATTTATTAAGTACTTATCAAACACTTAAACTCATTGCATCCCCAGAACAATGAAACAGGTTGTTCTGTGTCACCCTATACAAGCATAAAAGACTCTAAGAATTTAAATAACAAAGTCAAGGATATGTAAGATGCAAAGCAGCTCTCCTCAATCTTACTGATAATTAAAAGGCTGTCTGTTGTTCCCCATCACTGGTACCAAAGCAGCACAATCTCGTCACACTGAAGTAGCCTGCAGGCATGACTGATCAACAAGCACTGAGAAGTTACCTCAGGGCCAGTGTTGTGGCACAGCGCATAAAGCCACCACCAGCATGCCAGCATTCCACATAAATGCTGGTTCAAGTCCCTGCTGCTCCACTTCCAATGCATCTCCCTGCTAATACGTCTGGGAAAGCAGTGGAAGATGATCCCAGCGCTTGGGCCCACACACAACCCCCTACCTCATGGGAGACCCAGATGAAGTTTCTAGCTTCAGCCTGGTACAGCACTAGCCATTGTGGCCATTAGGGGAGTGAACCAACAGATGGAAGATGACTCTATTTCAAATAGATAAAAATAAATGTCTAAAAAAGAGGGAAAAAAAGAAAAAGTATCTTATTTAAATTTTTACCTGAAGGGATTTCAAGTTATTATACCTCAATCTGCTTGAAATTTCCCTTCTCTGCTTTCTGGCCTTCGGTATTACTGTCAACATATATTCTCCCTCACCTTCTTATGACTCCTATTGGGAGGACTCCAATGAAGATAAACAAAAACCAAAGAGAGACATCATTTAAGTACTGAACTGTCCTTTTTTACAATCTGTCTCCAAGTGACATCATTTCTTACTGTTTCAAAGTGTAGTTTATTTGTTTAGAATATCATTTTAAAGTTATACTTTAATGTTATGTGGCTTTTTATTTATTTGAAAGGCAGAGTTCCAGAGAGAGAAAAGAGAGAAAGAGAAATCTACCATCTGCAGGTTCACTCCCCAAAGGGCTGCAATGACTGGGGCTAGGCCAGGCTGAAGCCAGGAGCCAGAAACTTCTTCCAGGTCTCTCACGTGGGTATAGGGGCCCAAGGATATGGTGCGTTCCCAGGCACATCAGCAGAGAGCTGGATCAGAAGTGGAGTAGCCAGGACTCAAACCAGCACCCAGATGAGATGCAGGCACTGCAGAGTGCCAGCTCCAACATAATTTCTGAGACCCAATACTTCATGCTCAATATCTCAAGTTCTCATCAGCTTTTTTGCTTTTACATCTCTCTTAATAGGGGGCAAGGGAAGGAACATGTGATTGTGCAACAATATAAACTATAAGCATACATTTCACTATCATTAAATTAAATAATGGAGTTACTTAAGATTATATGAAAAAAACTCATCCTTCCCACAACTTTAATTAGCAATACAATAAAGCTAATTCCTATTTTTTATCTAGTCTTAACCAATTATAAATATAACTCCCTGTAAATCAGAACAAGATGTTGCAGTCCAATCAAACCAAGTAGTTTAAAAGTTATCTCCATTACCTGCTACAACACAAACACACACACACACTCTGTTCCACTGTTGGCGTTTATAATGTGATTATCTCATGGGTCTGTCTAAATCAACTAATTTTCCTAAATACTCTTTTTTTTTTTTTTTTTTTTAAAGATTTATGTATTTGATTGGCAGAGTGACAGAAAGAGAAAGAGACAGCGCTTTCCAAATGGTTGCAATGACTGAAGCTGGGCTAATCCAAAGAAAGGAGCCAGAAGCTTCTTCCAGGTCTCCCACGTGGGTGCAGGGGCCCAAGTATTGGGCTGTCTTCTGCTGCCTTCCCAGGTGCATTAGCAGGGAGCTGGATTGGAAGTAGAGCAGCTGGGACTCAATCCAGCACCTACATGGGATGCTGGTGCTGGAGGTAGTGGCTTTATCTGCTAAACCACAGTACCAGCCTGATTTTCTTATTTATTCTATCGTCATTGTTCCTAATATCCATTCTTCCATCTCAATGAGCAGTGTCTTTACATGTAACCTGTCTTTTAACATACTCCCAGGCTAATTAAACTCATTAGTATAAACTTTGTCTCAAATTAATTTCCAGAATTGTTACAAGGGCTATCCTGCAAAAAGTTAATTGGTGTGAAGTCTTCAATGGCTCTTGGAAATCTGGGGAGGAAAAGGCTTCCAACTACCTCTACCCACTTTTCCTAGCTGTCTACAATCTACTGCTGTCTTATTTCTACCTGTGCTGCCTTACACTTACACCACTTACACCACCCTCCTATCCTCTGGAAAATGTTCAAGTTGACATTCTTGAATATGTAAGTATTACCCTATATGTAACTTGATCATGTTTAAGACTGAATTAGAATTGCTCTTCTTTCAAATGTAAACATTAAAATCTTGGTAATCCGTAGGGCTAAAGTTGAGTTATACCATACTGCAATATAAATTAGTAGTACACTTGAAAGTCTATAATGTAAGAATTAGAAACTCCTGAGAGTTGGTAGATTTATTACCTACCCTGTATTACATATTAGCACCTAGCTGAAAAAGAGTCACCTCTTGAAAACCAATTTTAAAATGAGATTTAAGGGGCTGTCACTGTGGTTAGGGGTAAAGTGGCCATCTGCAGTGCTACCATCCCACACAGGCTCTGTTTCACGTACTGACTACTCCACTTCCAATTCAACTCTCTGCTAAGGGCCTGAGAGAAACAGTAGAAGATGGCCAATGTGACTGGGCATTTTAAACCCACATAGGAGACCCAGAAGAAGCTCCTGGCTCCTGGCTTTGGCCTGAGTCAGTACTAGTGGCTGCAGTCATCTGTGGAATGTGCCGGTGTCTCTTTCTCTCATGCTATAACTCTTGACTTTCAAAATACATAAATAAATCCTAAATTCAAAAAAAGGCTAGCACTGTGGCTCACTAGCCTAATCCTCCACCTGTGGCGCCGGCACCGCACCCTGGGTTCTAGTCCCGGTTGGGGGCGCTGGATTCTGACCCGGTTGCTCCTTTTCCAGTCCAGCTCTCTGCTGTGGCCCGGGAGTGCAGTGGAGGATGGCCCAAGTGCTTGGGCCCTGCACCCACACGGCAGACCAGGAGGAAGTGCCTGGCTCCTGGCTTCGGATCAGCACAGCGCACTGGCCGTAGCGGCCATGGGGGGGGTGTGTGTGTGTGAACCAATGGAAAGGAAGACCTTTCTCTTTGTCTCTCTTTCACTAACTGCCTGTCAAAAAAAAAAAAAAAAGGGAGAGAGATATTACAGGAATAGGCATTTGGGAAAGTGATTAAGCTACCACCTGTAACATCTCATATCAGACTGCCTGGTTCTATCTCAGTTTCTCTACTTCCAATCCAGCTTCCTGCTACTGCACATGCTAGGAAGAAGCAGAGAATGACCCAAGTATGTGGGTTCTTGCCACTCATGGGAGAGACGTGGATTGAGTTCCAGGCTCCAGGCTCCAGCCTGGTTCGGTCCTGGTTGTTGTGGACATACAGGAAATCAAACAGCTCTATCTGCTTTTCATATAAAATAAAAACCAAAAATTTACAGAAATTATACTGTACTGTGAAATGACTTTCCAACTATCTTTTATAAAGAAATACATCTTTAACGGATTTTATCTCTAAAATACTTACTTGTAGTTACAGAAAAAAGAAAACAATATATGTAAATTGAAGAGCTGTTAATCATTAAACAAGCAGTAGGATTTGTGTTTCACTCAAATATAAATTGCATGTTTAGACTAGCAAAAATTAAGGCAAATTAATACTTAATCATGCATACACAAAATTGGCAGAAAAATTATTTTCACATTTGAGCACTTACACACCAAAAAGAATGAGAGTTTATAAAGGTATCGTGTTATTCAATTCAGTACATAGTCAGGCATCAGTGACAATAGGATACAGAGAAATGTTTCTATGCTTACATCAAAATACACATCATAGAACTCTAAACTCCTTATGATAAGAGAAGACTATTGTACCTGCAGGAGCCAATCTCCTTATCTATTCCTACAGATCTCAAGGCTAGGCTATCAGGTTTCAGCTAGCCAGGAAGAGAGAGAAACTTATGTCTTACACATATTTCATCTGGTGACAAGTTTGAAGTACATAGAAAAAAAAAAAAAACAGGCCAAATTTCCATATTTTACAAGAATTTCATAGTGTCAGGGCTGGCACTGTGGCGCAGTAGGTTAAGCCATTGCCTGAAGCTCCACCATCCCATAGGGGCATTGGATCAAGTCCTGGCTCCTCTTCTATGATCCAACTCTCTGCTATGGCCTGGGGAAAGCGTGAAAGATGGCTCAAGTCCTTGGGCCCCTGCCACCCATGCGAGAGACCCAGAAGAAGCTCCTGGATCCTGGCTTCAGCCTGGCCAGCCATTTGGGGAATGAACCAGGGGATGGAAGACCTCTCTCTCTCTGTAACTCTGCTTCAGCAAGACACATGACACTAGTGTTTAAAGCACTTAGCGTTTAAATGAAAGCTGTTACCAAACAGGTGTTTTTATTGTTCCACACGTTACAAACAAAAAGCATAGGGCTAGGTATGAAAGTGATGACAGCTAACATCCTAAGAAATAACACTGAAACTGAGAGTATACCAATGGCAGCCAGGTGAAGGTAGGTTTAGTTTTCCTAACAGAGAAGTCACTGTGTAGGCCTTGACTGAAGAGAAAATAAGCTGGGATTGGACTGAGGGTACGGGAAGAGGGCAGGCAGGGTTATATCCTCCCAGGAATCAGTAAATGAAGAAAAACAGTTCTGGTCACAGATGTCCAGAGAATTTCAGGCAGGTAGGTGTGGGATTGAAGTTAGTGTTTCCCCATCTTCACAGGGGTGGTTTTCACCTATCAGCTGTATATTAGTTATTAAGGAACAGGGCAAAATACACATGCACATGCACACAGAAGTAAGAAATCTTCAAAAAGTGTGCCTGGAAAACCAGCACCCACATGGCAAGCCTGGAAGAAGCTCCTGGCTCTGGCCTGGCCCAGCTTTCTGTGTGTTTCTCCCTCTCTCTGTAACACTAACTTTCAAATAAATAAATAAATATTAAAGAGACACACACACACACATAAATCCTATCTAAGGATTTCAAACTTTTTGAAACAAAAATAAATGTTTTAATTTTTTAAGACTTACTTGAAAACCAGAATTAGAGAGAGGGAAAGACAGAGACACATAGAGATCAATCTTCTATCTGCTGGTATACTCCCTACATCTTAACCCGCTGATTTACAACATAAGTCCCCAAATATTAAAAAAAAAAACAAAAAAAAACCTGTTCTTTTCCTCATTTGAAAGGCAGAATGACAGAAAAAAGAGAGACATTCCACTTAGCTCACTGCCCATATGTCCACAATGGCCAGGCCAAAGCCAAGAGCCAGGAACTCCATATGGGTCTCCCATGTGCGTGGAAGGAGCCCAGGGTACTTGGGCCATCATACACTGCCTTCCCCGAAGCATAAGCAGGGAGCTGGATTGGAAATGGAGCAACAGGGACTCAAACCAGCACTCCAGTATCTACTCACTGTGCCATAATAATGGCCCCAGTAATATTAATCTTAACACCATTTTTCTAAGAGCTTTTTAAAAGAACCTAATATATACATGTGTGCATATAAAAAAGAACCAAACTTATATGAAAGTCATAACATACCCTGATTATGTATTGGTAACAGCTGTGGTGGTGGGGGAGGCTGTGGTAATGGAGCTGGCTGAGGGGTCACAGGACTAAGGACAGCAGTGAATAAGTCCTCCACATCCTTTCCTCCAAGCTCTGTGAGATAAAATAGTAAAAGCATTAAAAGACAATAGCCGGTCAGAGTATAGGGAATGCCAATCAAATAAGATAGAAAATCAGAACACAAATACCTGGAATTTTATATAACTTTCCAAGAATTGCTCCTAGGATAAAATAAAGAAATAGAAATATTAACTATCAATCCACTACACTGATACAAAATAGCAAATAATTGATACAGAAACAATCAGAACATAAAAGTTAAATTCTAAATAGGCATGCAGAAATCTTTGAAAATCATATTTACTCATGTCTTTTAGAAAGCCTAGATGTAGGGCAAATATTTTACCATCTGTGACCATTTTGTCTAGTTCAGGACTGAGAATGCCATCTAGTTGCTCTTCACTTAATGGTCGTGAACTCTGATTAACACTTGGATGAGGCAAAGAGGAAGGATCGTCAGCAATAGGACCCATATCTAAAACAGCAAGGTAAATAAATTAAAAGTGAATTCAGAACACTCACATCAAATGCATAACACTATTTTATCTGCATCAATATATAATATGTGAATTAATTAGGATTGTTATATAGTCAATCAATAAAAATAAAACACAGTGTATTAATAAACTTAAGTGCCACTTAAAGTTATCATTTAAACAAAGTAAATATATTTCTTGAGGAACAAAAGAATATACTAAATTTTTGCATGGCATTTCTCTGTAAAAAAAAAACCACCCATATTTAGATAGAAATTTATGAGAAGTTGACCAATAAAGAACTGCATTAACTTTGAAAACAGTGGCATCAAATGTACAGTTTAGTCATCTTAAGTAGTATTCAAAGAAGATAAGTTTCATGTAAGTTAATCAAAAGCTCTAAAATGCTCTATTAATGTTTAAGTAAATAATCTTTTTAAAGTAATAAATTATAAATATTTTAAATGGTTGGTTGTCACATTCTGAAGATATAAATTATATTTATAATTTGAATATGCTTTACCTCTTACATATTGCTATTTTAAACAACACACATGTAGAAGTGGTCTATCACTTTTTCATGCTTTCAATAATGCTATTAACAGTAAAGACTTTTGTCTGATCTTTTTAAATCATTATTAGGAGTTAACATTAATATGTGGATAACATGAATTACACATTAATGAGAATAAAAATCACTCATAAAAAAACTTATAAGAATTTCACCCAAAGTACAGTGTAAAGTATACTAATCTTTAGCTGCACACAAAAAGAGAAAAGCAAATTATGGATTAGTGATATATTAGCACTACTAACAAATATGCATGCACCTACAGTTGTTTTAGCTGAAACCACTACCAAAAAAGAAGACTAATTCTAGTCAGCAGTCATCCTTAGCTCAGTTTCTTACCAAATGGAAAAGGTGAGCTCTCAACCTGGAAAGTGCATAAATCAAGACCTACAAGACCCAAACCAAATAAAATGGATGATTACCATTAAGAGAAGGGAGTAGGGGGAATGCAAATAAAAGAAGAAACAAGATATGGCAAGACTGTAAGGCAACAAGCCTTGAATTTTGATGCAATTAGAAAGGGAACAGAAATTAACTAACTTGCTATATTCCCCTCCTAAAGCAGGAAAGCCGAGGTAGATCAAATAAAATGTTGAGTTCTTTGACAAAGCAAAAAGAGAACACACTTCAGTTACTAGGAAACAGGCAAAAGACCACACTTGTTCCACACATATACCTCTCACATCACAAAACAGAAATTGGGCAAACAGTATTCATATGTACCTGAATGATCAACTGATTTTGCTAGGTCATCTGAAATTATTCCAAGAATGTCATCATCTGTGTTTAAGACTTCAGAAATATCAGCTAATGGGTCATCAGCAGTACCTAAATACAGTAAGTATATTTATAAAAATTCAGTATTTTCCTCAGTGTTAAATTCTAAAATACCCTTAACTCATCCATAACTTTGCTAAATATTGAGAGTTGAGCTGATGCTGAAGCAAGCGCTACAATGATGAGAACTAAAGTTTATTACTCCCAAAGGCACTCTAAAGTTTTGAATAACAAAATTATTAAAAATTCAGGCTTTTTATTTTGTGACCAATATGTATTAACAAAGTAAAATTTTAAGTAAAGACCTGTAGGTAACAAAAGTAAATCAGAATGCTAAAACAAACAAAACCGAAAAATTCAGTAACTGGTACCCCTAAAATCACATTGAGAACATAAAACACATGGAAGTTAACAGAATATGCAAGACTAACCCATGATTTAGAAATTCTATGTAAATCATAAGCCAAGTGCCACACTACTTCCAGCACTGCCGCTCACACCAGTTACCTACTCACTCACTCACTAAAAACTATTTCAGTATCCACAGAACTAGATTAATCACGCAGTGATCCACTCGCTAGAACCTACACAACAGTGACTGAAACAGTGCATGCTCTCAAGGAGCACCTCAAAACGCATCCTCCGAGGAGCTGGACAGCAATTCAACGCCACTACTGTAAATGCTATTAAAAAAAATAACGAGAAAAAAGTCTTAAAACTAAGACATGTTATGTAAGATTGTTAGGGCTGACCTTTTGAAAGCAGAAATCTAAATGAAATGTGGGAATAATTAATGTACCAAAGAAGGAGAGAACAGTTGGGGCAGAGGGAAAGCCGATGTGAAGCTTGGGATTCACTTCGAAGTGTAATGGAAAGTTGTTGGAAGACTGAAAGACAGACAGGGGATAACATGACTGAAACTCTAAAGGGAACGTGCTGGCTGCTATGTACACAACAGATGTAGAGTTGGAGTGGGAGGAAGGACTGCTGGGGAGGCCCAGAGACTACTTCAAAGGCTACTAGGAGACCACAGCACGGTGAGGGAGAGGTGGTGACAGTCTACACAATGAAGACAGGGAAAGCTAACATAAGGAGTGGCTGGCTGCGGACACATCTTGAAGGTCAATGCAAATTTGTGAATGGATAACATGGAATTTGAAAAAATAAAATGCCAAGGATTCTTAAAAAAAAAAAAAAAATCTGAGTTAATCAAGCTGGAAAATACTGGAACTCTTTTTTTTTGGTGGGTTGTAAACAACACTTTCACTTTCATTGATTTGATTTTTTTTTTTTTTTTTTTTTTTTTTATTTGACAGGTAGAAATACAGACAGTGAGAGAGAGAGACAGAGAGAAAGGTCTTCCTTCCATTGGTTCACTCCCCAAATGGCCACTACGGCTGGCACTGCACTGATCCAAAGGCAGGAGCCAGGTGCTTCTCCTGGTCTCCATGCGGGTGCAGGGCCCAAGCACTTGGGCCATCCTCCACTGCCCTCCTGGACCACAGCAGAGAGCTGGCCGGGAAGAGGGGCAACCGGGATGCCAACACCACAGGCAGAGGATTAACCAAGTGAGCCACAGCGCCAGCCCCAATACTGGAACTCTTATTTAGGCCAGTTTAGGCCAGTTTTAGTAATTATATGTCATTCAGTTAAAGAATATCTGAAAGTTGGAACCAATTTTAAGCCTGTTTTTACTTAAAAAAAAAAAAAAGCTGTGGGCATAAACATACTCCAGATCAAATACCTCTATGAAATAGTTTTGGAGTCTTTAAACATTTTCTTCAAATATAATTCATACAAAACAACATAATTTTTGAACTGGAAAGTTAATGGAAATTTTGTACACCAAATATTCAGGAAATTAAAGTATTTCCATAATGTATTCTCTAGACAACAGTGCCTTTTAGTGAGCTGACATGTGGTACAGTGGTTAAGTCACTGCTTGCAATGCCAGCATCCCACATGAAGACCAATTCAAGTCCTGGCTGCTCCGCTTCTGATTCAGGTCCCTGCTAAAGGCACCAGGGAAAGCAAGAGAAGATGGCCCAAGGACTTGGGCCCTGCCACACATGTATCCCAGATGCAGTTCTTGGTTCCTGGCTTAGGCCTGGCCATTTAGCCAATTTCGGGAGTGAACCAGTCTCTGTCTCTAACTATGCCTTTGAAATAAATGAATCAATCTTTATCATTTTGTTGAAAGGTGCATTTTGATGAAAAAAAATTTCTAGGGACTAGCGTTGTAGCATTGTGGGTAAAGCCACCAACTGTGATGCCAGAATCCCATATAGGTGCTGGTTTGAGTTATGGCTTCTCCACTTCCAATCCAACTCCCTGCTAATGGCCTGGGAAAAGCAGCAGCAGATGGCCCAGTACTTGGGCCCCTGCCACCCATGTGGGAGACCTGCATGAAGCTTCTGGCTCCCGCCTGGCTGATGCATCTATTTGGGGAATGAACCAGTAGATAGAAGAGATCTCTCTCTCTGTATTCTTTCAAATAAATAAATCAATCTTTAAAAAAATAAAATGTAGTCACAGGGTTTACTTCCAGGAAACCATCAAATACCAAGTCCCTTCCGTAGGCCTCCAAATCTGCAATTCTGGAATCTATGGTTACAGACCTGATGGGTATGGAGGGTTGACTTTATTTCAGCCCAGGCTACATACAGTTAAAACTCATTTTTCGAGCCGGCGCCGTGGCTCAATAGGCTAATCCTCCACCTTGCGGCGCCGGCACACAGGGTTCTAGTCCCGGTCGGGGCACCGGATTCTGTCCCGGTTGCCCCTCTTCCAGGCCAGCTCTCTGCTATGGCCAGGGAGTGCAGTGGAGGATGGCCCAGGTGCTTGGGCCCTGCACCCCATGGGAGACCAGGAAAAGCACCTGGCTCCTGGCTCCTGCCATCGGATCAGCGCGGTGCGCCGGCTGCAGCGGCGGCCACTGGAGGGTAAACCAACGGCAAAGGAAGACCTTTCTCTCTGTCTCTCTCTCTCACTGTCCACTCTGCCTGTCAAAAAAAAAAAAAAAAAAAAAAAAACAACAACTCATTTTTCGGGGCTGGCGTTGTGGTGCAGTGTGTTAAGTAGTCACCTATAATGCCAGAATCGCATGAGAACCAGTTCGAGTCCTGGCTGCTCTACTTCTGAAGCAGCTCCCTACTAATGCACCTGGGAGGGCAACAGAAAATTGCCCAATTGCTTGGACACCTGTCACGCATGTGGCAACCTGGCTCCTAGCTTCAGCCTGGCCCAACCCTGGCCATTGTGCCATTTGGAGAGTGAACCAGTGGATAGAAACTCTGTCTTGTCCTTTCTCTCTGACTTTAAAGAATCTTACAAAAAATTTTTTCTGTGAAAGGATGCCTCTAAAGTGTTTTCCAAAATGTGCATAAAATTAACACAGTAGGGGCTGGCACTGTAGCATAGTGGGTAAAGCCACTGCCTACAGTGCTGGTATTCCAAATGGGTGCTGGTTCAAGTCCTGGCTGTTCCACTTCTGATTCAGCGCCTGGGAAAGCAGTAGAAGATGGCCCAAGTCCTTGGGGTCATTGCACCCATGTGGGAGACTTCCTGAAAGAAGCTCCTGGCTCCTGTATAGGGATCCACCCAGTACTGGCCATTGTGAACATCTGGGGAGTGGACCAGTGGATGGAAGATCCTTCTCCTGCTCTCTCTCTGCCTCTCTGTAACTCTGCCTTCCAAATAAATCAATCTTTTTTTTAAAAATTAACACAGTAACAAATGTAATCAATGGGAAAACTGGAGGCCTGTCAGAAGAATAGGAATTTACAATTGATAGCATTAGAAAAAACCTAAGGGGGGGGGATGGGGCGGAGGAGCGGGCACAGAAATAGTTATCACTATTCTTCCATGTCCAAATGAGTTGAACTCCTACAGCCTTGCTGATGTTTATTTACAAACACATGAAGTTTTCTTACCTTTTCCTGATTCACAGTAATTCCGACAGTCACTGCATCTAGGACAATAGTTCTCAACCAGGAACAATACAGCCCACCAAGGGATATCTGAGACTTTCATATCTATAGACTTTTTTTAATTGTTAGGAAGCCAGGGATGGTGTTAAACATCTTACAAGGTACTAGACACCCAGCCTCCTTGCTACAACAAAGCATCATCTGGCCTGAGCTGTCAACAGTGAGAAACTATAATCTGGGGAAATGTATTTCAAAAACAAAACAGGAAAATAAGTTCCCAACTATGACATTATTTTTGATTTTAGAATTTCTTTGGATTGTATTATTAATAAATACCTCTCTTAACCTGAGTTGAAGATTATTATAGCAGTAATTCACCAACTATGGTCAAACTCAGAAGAGTGTAACTGTTTTCTTTTATAACTCTTAATTTTCGTTGTAGTAACAAAGATAAATTGGTTTGCCAAAACTTACAGACCTTTTCACCTAACATAGCTACAATTACTTAATTAAAACCACGCCTTTCAATAAGCTTGATTTTCAGAATGCACAGGAAGTCAAACAAAAGCATTTCAAAGGATTAATTTTAAAAGGAAGATCTATGTTACACAATATAAAGAAAGCATGTGTGAAATATTCCCCCTACCTTGAGTTCCAAGTTTTGCAGGAGCTGAGGATGAGCTAAGTAGTGGATCTAATGAAGGATCCAAAAAATTTGTATTCATGTGTGTTTTATAGGAAAGCTGAGCTGCATCTTCTGATAGACTATCTAAACTCAACTTGTTTTGTCTACTTGTATCTAGAAGATCTTTTCCAAAGAAAGCTTCCTAGATAAAGATAAACACATATGAAAATGATCAGTTACAAAACTCTAAATATGAACAGATCATTCTGTCATCACTTCTGACAAGGGAGCAGAAATAACAGAAAAGCTTTGTATTTAACAATATAGAAAATGAATATAATATAGAATGATCTCATTAATTCTTTTTTCCCTTATTTTAAAAATAATCATTTTTGTAGTTTTACTAGAGAAAAAAAAAGTATGCAAATAAAACATTCATGCCAAATGTGTTTCTGGCAACTGCAGAATAATAATTCAATTCCAAGAGATTAAACTGCAATAAAATTTAAAGGTTGATAGATTTGCAATACTTTCAGCACCTTAATATATAATATAAGCAAAACTAAAGCTTCATGAATATTATTAATATTTATAAATTACTTGCAGAGAGTATCATAAGATTTTGATCTACAGCTTTAATATTTACATACTTCAAGGCAGATTTAGTAATCTTGCATTGATTCATATAACCATACAGGAGCTTCCACTATAAATATGAATGAGAGTTTTTTATAGTTGTTTTACCCATAGAATGTGTGCAACATTTACAGCTATTAAAGGCTTTTGGCTTTTCCTTCATTTACTTATAGCAACACTTCTCCATTTCAATATGCATGCTCTGTTCTAGAGGCTAGTGTTGAAAGCTGAGTTCTTTTCAAATACAGGATCTCTTCCCAAACATCCCAAGAATCAAGACTAAAGACAAAAAGGAAGCACTCAAGATCCCTTTTTTTATCTTCAACCTAGCAAATCTGCTTTAGTCTATTTTCTATAACATGGTTTGTCTGGAAGAAGGATCCTTTGTGGATGACAACGTTTCAGCAGCTATTAAAACTTAACACACACTCACTAAATATGTAAACACAAAAACTTTCACTGCAGCATTTTTTATAATACCAACAAGTGAAAATGGCCTTAATGTTCATCAATAGAAATACGACCAAATAAAATAGATACGGAAAATATAAACAACAATACAGCAGTTGTAAGGAAGTATATGGAGGGCTGGCATTGTGGTGCAATATGTTAAGCCACTGCCTGGGGCGCCAGCAGTCCTGGATGCTCCACTTTCAATCCAGCTCTTTTGCAAGTGGCAACACAGTTCAAGATGGCCCAAGTGCTTGGGCCCCTGTTACCCACATGGGAGACCTGGATGAACTTCGAGGCTCCTGGCTCTGGCCTGGCCCAGCCCTGGCCCAGCCCTGGCCACTATGGCCATTTGGGGAGTGAACCAGTGGATGGAAGATCTCACTCTATGTCTTTCTCTATCTGTAACTCTGCCTATCAAACAAACAAATAAATCTTCTAAAAAAGAAAAAAGTATATGGAGTCATGAGATTAGAGATTGAAAGCAAGTTGAATATGTCCAAGAAAATATAGATCTCCAGACTATTATAAGTATGCAAAAATACATTTTTATAAAAAGTTCTGGAAGCACAAAAAGTAAATGTTAAAAAACACTTGGCTAATTTTTGAAAGGGGTTTGGTAGATGTGGGTGAAGTCTGGTAGAGATGAAGAAAATATATTTGATTTGAAATTTTCACAGAAACCAAATGTTTTACTCTGAAAAAAAAATTCTAAAAATTCATAAAGTTAGAACATATTTGTTTACTGGTAAATAGAAAATTATTCATCTATCACCAATGCTTTTTGTCATTGGGGAAAATGCTGAATAGCATAAAACATCTCAGAAGTTTGGACATAAATTTGAGAAACACCATTAGCAAGAATTCTTTTTCAATGACTCATGGTAACTTCATTTGTATTTATATAAAAATTTGGTAATATAAAAAATTCTTATTAATTTGCTGAGCGTTTCAATCACCACAGTTTATGCCAGAGTGGCTACAGATTTCCAACTTGGTATTTATCAGCAAGACTAAGAAGCAAGCAGAGGTTACGGATCCACAATGAGAGTCTCTTAAAGACTCATGCTACTATGAGCTATCAGTGGACTGCATAAATATTTCTGCTGGGGAGATTATATAGTTTATCTTGACATACTGTGACTAGTAAGACAAATTACACAGAGTGTTACTCTGTCACAATGTATTTCCCCAGATCAATGGCAAAAATACAATGATCACAAGATGTGCAGAACCATTACAAAGGCTTCCCACACAATAAACTTTAAAAAGAACAAAAAAGAAGTTAGGTGTTACTAAGGAAGCAATTCCACTCAAACAGCACAGCAGCAATAGGATTTCAAATGCAGTACTTTTAAAGGCTCTTTAGCAAAGTATTAAAAAGTCAGTTTCATACTTTCACAAGCAACTGAATATAAATTACACATTATAGAAGTATCATTAGGAGGAGGAGCAGACAACCTTCTCAGAACTCCCAGAAAGGACTATTGAAAAGGAAGGCAAAGGCAGTTACTTAATAACAAAAGAGGTACAAATAAGGATAATCTGCATTGCAAAGGACAATTTTCTGGCCAATAAAATAACTATTTGAAGAAAAAAGGTACAAAAGTAGAATGAAAGGGAATGAGGGGAAAATAGGACATTTATTAAGGATATTTAACAAAAAATTAAGTACATGAGTATCTAATTTAATTTCTGAACATTTCTGCGATTAGGCACTACAAAAACTTTATAGTTGAGAAAACTGGCACAGAGACGGTAAAAAGTGTGACGTTACACAACTAACTGGTAGCAGAGAGGTATTTAAAACCAGGAATTTTGCGCTGGGTGTGTGCCCTTGAGGGTAAAGCCAAGGCCTGCAAAGCCTGAATCCCATTGAGGTGCCTAGTGCTTCACTTCTGATCTAGCTCCCTGCGAATGGCCCAGAAAAAGCAATGGAAGATGGCCTAAGTATTTGGGTGTCTGCCACCCATGTGGGAGACCCAGAGGAAGTTCCTGGCTTCAGCCTGGCCTAGCCATGGCCACTGCAGTCATCTGGGCAGCATATCAGCAGACGCAAGACCTTTCTTTCTCTCTCTCTCTCTCTCTCTCTCTTTCTGTAGCTCTGAATTTCATGTAAATGTATAAATAAATGAATGAATACATATATACATACATAAAGCAAAGCAGCCAGCCAGCCAGCCAGCCAGGATTCTTAGACTTTAAAAGCTGAACCTTTTAACAGGAATATGGTCATTAACATATTGGTAAGTACAGTTACCAAAATGAAAACTGAGGAAATTTTGTTAGCTGAAAACAAATGTATTTTAAAACCAATTAAAATGTACAATTCAAGCAATGAAGAAACATTAAGGCCACAGTTCTATGGGAGTTGACAGATGAGAGCAACAGACAGTGAGATTAGGATGGACGCTCAATAGCAGTCTATCAAATTCGACTCATTCATATGAAGAAAAAGAAGCCCAGAAAGGGTGAAGAACATGCTCAGCTGAAAATTAGCTAATGACAAAACCAATGTTCTAATATAGAACGGTTCCAATACATCATATATAACAATTCTGTGACCCAATGTTTGCAAGAAGCAACAATTCTTTTTCCCAATCCACGCCTATCAAACAAAAACAATTCTTTGGCTGAAATATTTGGTTTACAAAGCCTCTAATCGAGACAAATTATTATTACAGTTAAAATTCTGACAACTAAACAACTATTTTCATTCAATAATCAAAATTACTGTAATATCTACTGGCAAAGACAATTTTAAAAATTGATATTTTTTTAAGAGGTAGGCAGACAGAGACACACTCCCATGTCCTGGTTCATTCCCCAAAGCCACAGCCAGGAAAGCAATACAGGTCTCCCACTTGGATGGCAGGAATCCCATTACTTCAGTCATCATCCGGCCGCCTACAGTCTGCATTAGCAGGTGCTGGAGTTGGAAACTGGAACCAGGAATCAAACTCAGGTACTTCAATGTAGAATGCTTTCATCTTAGCTGCTAGGTTAAACACTCCCATGACCAGGGGAAATTTTAATGGCAGTTAGGCTCGAAGCATACACAGATGTCATTAGTTTGGAAAAGGGAGCTGACTGGAGCAGTAGGTCACATACAGCAGGTTAAATGCTGCTTGGAACCTCTGCATCCCATATGGGAGTGTAGGTTCAAGTTCCAGCTACTCTGCTTCTGATCCAGCTTCCTCCTAGTTTGTCTGGGAGGCCAAGCACAACGGCTCAAGTACTCAAGTCCCTTCCACCCATGTTGGAGACCCGGATGGGGCTTTCCCACTCCAAAATGTTCTTGTTTTGGCTTCAAAACCACTCAGCCATGAGCAAATGGCAAAGAGAGAGAACTTGAAGTATCAAACCACAAAAAGGGATAAAATGTAAATTTTTACCAGGCCTTGGAATGTAAAAACAAACAACAAAAAAAACTGGCATTTATGAGTAAATGAAAACAAGTAAAGACAATAAAGACAATAAGCTTATTTTTTAAAGTTCAATGCATTACATTTTCTACATTAACAAAGTAGATATAATGTAAAACAAAATATTACTTGTAAATAGACAGGGAAAGTTTCTTCAAGTTTATTTTTCCTTTTTCGGTATCTCTTCTTTATTTTTTCAGTGCTTTCAGTAACAGAAACAGATTCATCAACTAGAGTATCTGGTAACTGTTCACTCCAGCCTACAACAATAATCATATTTATAAATACATAACATTTAACAAATTCAGACAAATCTACCTAATGTAATTTCATAGTTTACCAACATATGCAGTTTTGAATAAGTTGCATTATCCAAAAAGATCAAGCAAGTTTATTACTAACTTTTACAAATCAAAAATTTCATTTCATGTCTACTTAAATTAGCAATGTTTCCTAGTTTCTCTTGATAATCATCATTTTTTCGGCAAAGGAGAAACTTCTGTTTTTAACCACATTATGTTAAAGGTTTTTTTTTTTTTGTTAAAGGTATTTTAAAATGAAATACCCATTGCTCATTGAGTATGAAGAGATGGCTACTCACACACTTTTAACGGGAATTTACTAGACAAAAATGTTTTTTAAATTGTTTTGGGAAAATGAAAAAGATCTTGAAAATACTGTGTGCCCTTCCATGTAACAATCCTAAGTTCAAAAATTTACTGTAAATGAGATGTTTATACACATACATGAGGGTAATTAAATTCCATTTTCTATGAACTTTTTGAAAGAAATTTAAAAACCCTGCATATGAAATCTTTAAAAACGGAAAGGAAAATATGAATTACGAATCAAATGATGAAAGTATTTAAAACTTACTGCACAAAAATAAGCTTACCATCTAATTCCTTTTTCCATGAACTTTTTAAGTATCACAGGTTTAAAATATGACTATGAATATTCTCATGAATATTTATTATGAACAAAAGCATATTGATGAGCATATTCATAACATCAGAGTATGTAAACAAAACAAATCTTGGAGTCAGGAATAGCGGAAAAGTACACTACTTGAAACAGAAAAGTAAACAATCAAGCAATACTCATATACTTCCTAAGAGTAAGGCAAATAGTACACCCTCCCAAAAATTAAAATTGGCACTTTTGTTGTTAGATGACATGAACTAACTCTTATGAAAACAACTAAAACTAGCCTTTTAAACATAATGTAAATTTAAAAAATATAAGGTCAAAAGGGGGATGAGGGAAGGAGAGAGTGAAAAAGGGGAGGGGAGGAGGAAGAGGGAATATTACTGCATTCTCAGAAATGGAGACCAGGCTGTAGCATAGCTGGTTAAGCCACCACCTGAGACACCAGCATCCCATACAGGTGCCTGATCAAGCCCATCTACTCTATTTCTGATTCAGTTCCTTGTTAATACACCTGGGAAAGCATCAGAAGATGGCCCAAGTGTTTGAGCCCCTGCCATCCATGTGGGAGACCTGAAGAAGATCCTGGCCTCTGCCTGGCCCAGCCCTGACTTTTGCAGTCATTTGGGAAGTGAACCCAGCGGATGGAAGATCTCTCTGTGTCTGTGTTTCTCCAACTCTGCCTTTCAAATAAATAAAATAAATCTTAAAAAGAGAGCGAGAGAGAGAGAGAAATTGCATCTACAAACTAATCTGAATCTGCTAAAAAGTCATTAAAATTTTTTCAAATCCTAAAAATTTCCACCAAAAACTGTGGATAAACATTTTTAAAACAACCTTCTAAGTATACTAGTGATCTTTCTAGAACATAAAGAATCTGCAAAGACCAAAAGTATGGTAAGGAATAATCTATAAAAAATGAGTAAAGCTGTCTGAAATTTGGTGAAATACAGTGTCTTTCAACTCTAGGTTTCAGAACACACAGGGAACAGAACACATTCTTTAAGACCTCTCTACAGTGTATAGAAAATACCTGGAGGTACTACACATTGCATGGGTGAGTGAAGAAATACAACCTCACACCAAAACCATAACTCACGTCTCCCCTGTCATCATCAATACCAAAGAAAACTTTCTTCCCACAGAATTCATACACCCAAAATAGCTCTAATGAATTTATAGAACATGGGTGGACTTCATAGTAAAAATGGAGTCCTAAAGTCATTCTAGGATCAGCGCGATGCGCCGGCCACAGCAGCCATTGGAGGGTGAACCAACGGCAAAGGAAGACCTTTCTCTCTCTCTCACTGTCCACTCTGAGAAAGAAAAGAAAGAAAAGAAAGAAAAGAAAGAAAAGGAAGGAAGGAAGGAAGGAAGAAAGGAAGAAAGAAAGGAAGAAAGAAAGAAAGGAAGGAAGAAAGGAAGGAAGGAAGAAAGGAAGGAAGGAAGAAAGACAGAGAGAAAGAAAGAAAGAGAAAGAGAAAGAGAAAGAGAAAGAATGAAAGAAAGACAGACAGAAAGAAAGAAAGAAAGAAAGAAAGAAAGAAAGAAAGAAAGAAAGAAAGAGAAAGAAAGACAGACAGACAGAAAGACAGACAGACAGACAGACAGAAAGAAAGAAAAAAAACCAGTCATCCTAGGAAAGTACTGTGCCATGTTCCTAGAAATTCAAACAACATTCCAAATAATATGAACAGTTAAAAAATGTGCATTTCTCATACAATCAATAAATTGGGACTAGTAGAGGCAGCAGATAGAAACAATAGAATCAGATGATAAAATCAATCATGCAAATATTTTATTCTAATTCCTTTTGTTACATAAATTCAACTGAAGTAGGACTAAGTTTTTAAAAGACACTACAAAATGTTAAATATCAAAAAAAAGTAATTCAGAAAAGAAAAACTGCATAAGAAATTTAAACCCAATGTTTGAGGTTCAATTACACCCAGAAGAAGGAACATAATACTGAACTAAAAGGAAGATCTAAAGAAATTAGGTAGAGGACAAAATAAAGACAGCTATGTAGTAGTTTAGACACCATTTCAAATGGCCACATCCCACTCTGGAATGCCTGGATTTGAATTCTGGCCCTAGCTTCCAACTGATGTATATCCTCAGAGGCAGCAGATGGTGGCTTGAGCATCCAAGCCCCTACCACACATGTGGGAGACGTGGACTGATTCCCAGCTCCTAGCTTTAGCCTGGGCAAGCCTAGATTTTGTGTGCATTTCAGGAATGAACAACTGGATAGAAGACTCTCTCACTCTCACTCTCTCTTCCTCTCAAGTAAAAATCAAGCATAAAAAAAGGAAAAAGATGGAAAACATAAAATAGTTTCATAATTAGGATTTTACAGGATATAGACCATTAGGGAACTTCCTTTCTTTATAAATTTTAAGATTTATTTATGTGAGAGATGGGAGAAGTGAGGACGAATAGGGAAAGAAGGTTGAGGAGGAGGAAAAGGGAGAGAGAGAAGGAAGAGGAGGAGGAGGGAGAAGAGGAGGAGGAGGGAGAAAAGGAGAAGGAAGAAGAGAGAGATGGAGCAGGAAACAGAATGGGCAAGCATGAGAAGAGATAGCGAATGCATGTACCCACCAATTCACTCCACAAATGACAGCAAAGCCAAGAGCTGCAGCCAGGAACTCAATCCAAGTCTCCCACATGGGTGGCAAGAACCCAATATCCTGAGACATTACCACTGACTCCCAGGGTCTGTGTTAAGAGGGAGCTTAAGACAGGTGCCAGAGACAAGTATTGAACCCACACACTCCAATATGGGATGCAGGTATCTTAATCACTAGGCCAAATGGCCACCCCATGGAGCTTTGTTAAGATGTGTGATAATTTCTGTCACCCACCCTAGCAACAGAAGGACTCTATTTAGAGACTATGCTGGAAACATCTCAATTCTCTTCAGGTTTCCTATTACGCATATTAAAGTATCTAATTGTACATATCATGACCAAAATGTTTGCAAACTCTTCATTAGAACCACTTCCCAAACTGACCCCCCCAAAAAAAAAACAAAAAAACAAAAAAACAAAGGCACAGTATATTCTTAAGTCATAGTATGGCTTAAGCAATGATTTGGATTTCTTTGATGCTCAAATTGATAGTGACAAAGTTCACTGGAAGATCTGTTCCTAAAACACTATATAATTTTGTTAAATGTTCTTGGGATATCTTGCCACTTTAAAATAAACAGCCTAAAAGTTTCAAATTACATGTAAGTAGATCATATGTGAAAAGATAAGACAGGCAAGAGGGGGCCTTTTTTTCATGACCAGAAATTATCTTATGTAACTAATTTGTAAGCCTCTTAAATATTTATATTTACTATAGGAAACCAACTACCATCTTAAAATCTCAAAGGAATATAGTAGGGGCCAGCGCTGTGGCATAGTGGGTAAAGCCACCGCCTTCAGTGCCGGCATCCCATATGGATGCCGGTTCGAGTCCTGGCAGCTCCTCTTCCAGTCGAGCTCTCTGCTGTTGCCTGGGAGAGCAGTAGAAGATGGCCCAAGTCCTTGGGCCCCTGCACCCACATGGAAGACCTGGAGGGGACTCCTGGCTTCGGATTGGCACAGCTCTGGCCATTGCGGCCAATTGGAAAGTGAACCAGCATATGGAGGACTGGAGGACCGACCAACCGACTGACCGACCTCCCTCTCTCTCTGCCTCTCCCTCTCTCTGTGTAACTCTGACTTTCAAGTAAATCAATAAATCTTTTTTAAAGGATTTTATTTATTTATTTGAAAGGTAGAGTTACAGACAGTGAGAGTGAGAGACAGAGAGAAAGGTCTTCCTTCCATTGGTTCACTCCCCAAATGGCCACAACAGCTGAAGCTGCACCAATTTGAAGCCAGGAGCCAGGAGCTTCTTCCTGGTCTCCCATGTGAGTGCAGGGGCCCAAGCCCTTGGGCCTTTTTCTCCTGTTTTCCCAGGCCCCACCAGAGACCCGGATTGGAAGAGGAGCAGCTGGGAGTAGAACCGGCTAAATAAATCTTAAAAAAAAAAAAAAAAAAAAAAAAAAAAAAAGGGGGGGGGGGGGGGGATATAGTCTATTGAATTTAAGCCATTTGCTTATCAAATACTATTGCTGTCACAAGTACAAACTCTAAAGACATTTAAATTTTAATAATTAACAAGAGGCAATAAGGTTATTCTTTCCAATAGAGCTATCAACACACAGGTGTTAAATCAAGCAAAATTAGTACCATACCATCATCTCTACTAGGCAGCTGCTCACAAACAGAGCCTGAAGAATCTTTTCTGATCACAGATCTTTTGGTTTTTCCTTGCCCAGTTCGACTTCTTTGCCGTACCATAAATCCGCCAATACCTATCCAAAACAGAAATTGGATAAGCTGATAAACAACTAATTTCTCCTCATAATTCCACAATAAGTAGGAAGAAATTCCTGTCTTAAATAACATTTTTCAAAGTTCAAACTGGAATAATCTGAACCAACAATCTCATTTTAATGCATAATAAAAGGTAGAAATAAGAAAAACTGTCAAGACCATTGTTGTAATTAAACAAGAATTTAAATCAATGAGTGTAAAGAAATGCATTTCCTTTTCTAGACAGTATCAGTAAATATTAAATTCTTGTTTATCAAATATTAGTAACTAAAAATTATTTGTACATTAACAGACTAATAATTTCTGTATTAGCTAGAGGTTAGAAGACACAAGCATTCTTTGATTGACATAACTAATTACTCGTTATTCATCATTATGGCCTTTACGTGTGAAGACACACGGAACTCTGTAGTTAAAAGCATGGAATTTGGAGCCAGACTATATAATTCTATGTTTAACTTCTCAGTGCCTTAATTCCTTTACTTGTAAAACTAGGATAATGTATACCACCTCCTCACACATATGACAATTCATAAATGAACATACATAATGGTTTGAATAGTGCCTGACACACAGTCAACACTAGGTTTTTAATCAAATGACAAAGCTATGTAGCTTTACATGCAAGCGGGGGGGAAAACTCATTGAATATAAGTTCCTAGAAGGAATCTGCGATGTCTAAAAAGAGTGCCCTCTTAAGCTTCATAATTTGGATGAAACATTTTAGCTTAGGGACTATACCCGGTCTGTATGGTTTTCTTTTCCTCTTTTTGATGCCATCTGGTCCTTCTACTCCTTTAGTTTCATCATCCACAGGTTCCCGTTCAGGACTAGATTCTGATTTCCCATCACAGTCCATAAGATCCCCTTCTAGAAAAAAGCAAGTGTACAGATGAAATTGAGAAAGCCAATAAAATACATAATCCCTACAGAATGAGAAATACAAGGCAATCACCAATCTATTCTAATCAGGCACCTGAGTAGGCAAAGGAGTCTAAAAGGAGATGGAAGAGGACACCAGTGTTTGGAAAAACTATGTTACTTGATAGAGTGTTCTCAGGAACTAAAACAAACATGAGCGAAAGACAAAGAAGAATTATAAATTATTTATAATTAATCATTCACATGCTTTTAATTTCATCTTCAGGTCCTGGATCCCAGAGTTGTCTTTCTAACCTAGAACTCTCTTGTACAGTACAATCACAGCTCTAACTACAGACTGCCTAGTTACTGAAAACTATATATCCAAACTGAGCTATTAATTTCAGATGAGTTTCTTCCATTTCAATAATATTAACAATCATTATTAAAATATAGGAAAATGCCCAAGAACATGGAAGACTAGAAGACAATCTTGACAATTTCCAATTTCTTCCAACCACAATCAATACACCTTAATAGCTCTCAAAAGTATTTCATGAGGGGACTTTATAAAGTTCTTGGAAAGATGGAATTAAAATATAAAACTTATTTTTAAAATATGAAACTTAGGCCGGCGCCATGGCTCAATAGGCTAATCCTCCACCTTGCGGCGCCGGCACACCGGGTTCTAGTCCTGGTCGGGGTGCCGGATTCTGTCCCGGTTGCCCCTCTTCCAGGCCAGCTCTCTGCTATGGCCAGGGAGTGCAGTGGAGGATGGCCCAGGTGCTTGGGCCCTGCACCCCATGGGAGACCAGGAAAAGCACCTGGCTCCTGGCTCCTGCCATCGGATCAGCGCGGTGCGCCGGCTGCAGCGGCGGCCATTGGAGGGTGAACCAACAGCAAAGGAAGACCTTTCTCTCTCTGTCTATCTCTCTCACTGTCCACTCTGCCTGTCAAAAAAAAAAAAAAAAAAAAAAAAAAGAAACTTTATTTTGCAACATAAATCCAATCAAGTTAAAGACACTTTCGTGATACCATACATTCAAACCCTCCCTAAAGAAAAGACAATGTGGTCTTTAAAAAAAGTATTTATTTGAAAGGCAGGAAGAGAGGGAGACAAACAGACATCTTCCATTTGCTGGTTCCCTTCCCAAATTGCTGCAATGGTCAGGGATGGCCAATCAGAAGCCAGCAGCTTGTCCTACTTGGGTGGCAGAGACCCAATACTCAGGCCATCTTTCTGCTGCTTTCCCAGACACGTTAGCAAAGAGCGGGATCACAAGCAGAGCACTCAGGCTTGAACCTGCACTCATATGGGATGCTGGCATTGGAGGCAGCAGCTTAACCCACTGCACAACCACGCCAGCCCCAATGCAGTCTGTTTTTTTTTTTTTTTTAATACTATTAACTGAATAAAAGAGGTTGCTCTTTTTAGGAGCAACTTTTTAGAAACCAAAAGGAACTCCCTTGGAAACATTCCCAAAACAACCTTTGAATGAGGAATGAGCTGGAGCACTGTCACGGTAGATAGTCTTCTAATGAAGCTTTCCTGGGTCTTTTTATTTATTTTTTAGTATTACAAAAGCAGAGTAACAAAGTGTGTGTGTGTGGTGGTGGGGTAGAGAGAGATAGATCAAGTTTCCATCAAGTGACTTACTCCCCAAATGACTGCAACTGTCAGGGCTAGAAGAGACCAAAATCTAGAATCAGGAACTCCATCCTGGGCTCAAACATGGGTGGTATTTGAGCCAAAAATCACTGCCTCCTAGGATGCATAAACAGGGCATGAGATCTTTAGTGCAGAGTAACTAGGATTTGAACCAGGCACTCTGATATGGGATGTGGACATCCAAAAGAGGTGGCTTAACCTGTTGTGTCACAATGCCAGCCCCTAGGGTATTTTTCTGCTAAAGCTTTGGTCAATATTCTCGAAAACACTTTCATAATAGGCACATGTTATTATTCCTCGGCCCTCTAGAAAGACAAGCCAAATGCCCCGAGGACCCAAAATACTGTGACCATGAACTTGGCTCTTAAATGATCTGCTTCAGCTTTGACTGAGGCACTTGATCATTTGGTAGCTATTGCTTAAATTGTGCTCTGTCTTATGGATCATTCTGATAAAGCTATGTTTCACTTCCTATTAGAGTTTTTCAAAAAACTGCTTAAGGATCTTAATCCACTGCAATTCCATTCAGGTCTCTCATGTAGGTGGCAAGGACCACAAGCATTTAGGCCAACTGGCCTTCAAATGGGATGCGGAAGCATAAACCATTGTGCCACAATGCCGGGCCCGGTGAGTACTCTTTCCAAACTGATTGTTTTACCCTACTTAGGGCTTCAAACTAGATTCTCTTCAGATATGTTATAAAAAGGTAGTATAAGTTTACTTTGGGGCAAAATGTTTTGAAATCCATATAGTTTTTTCATTATGTGCATTTTACATGAACTTTTTCAAGAACCCTTATATTTCATTCTACTACCATATTAGTCCAGTCTCACATATGATTTCCTACCAACAGCTTCCCATCTAGTTTCCTGCATCAAAGCTTGCCCCTCTCCAATGAGATCTTCAAACTGCATATAAACTTCTCCAAATATTAATTTTCTTGCTTAAAATCTGTTCATATCCTATCAGTGTCTCAAACATAAAGTTCAAATTGGAATGCCCAATATAATAACCTAAAAATCTTATTATTTCTAACTACAGTGAACCATATTCATAGAAAGGATCATGCGTTTTGATGCATTATCTCCCCCAAACTCCAATTTTCTCTAAATTAACTTTCAAATTTATTCAAGGTTATACACCACAGCTATATGCGCCTATCCATTGTTATGCTTCATTTTAATTGGTTCTTTAAAGTCTGTGTCCTGGGGCCAGTGCTATAGCTTGGATGATTAATCTGCTGCCAGCCACACCAGCATCCCATTTGGAGTGAGGGTTCAGTATTCACTGCTGTGTTTCTGATCCAGATCCCTACTAATGTGCCTGTGAAAGCTGTGGAAGACAACCCTAGTGCGTAGACACCTGCCACCCATGTGGGAGACCCAGATGGAGTTCCAAACTCCTAGCTTTGGCCTGGCCCAGCCCTGGCAATTATAGCAATTTGGGGGAATGAATCAATGGATGGAAGTTGATCTCTTTCTCTCTCATACCTTCCATCACTCTACCTTTCATATAAATAAATCTTTAAAAAAAAAAGTTTATGTCCCTAATAGATTATATTCTCCACATGAATACAAACTAAAACATCTTAAAACTAAAGCTTTCAGGCTGGCACTGCGGCTCAATAGGCTAATCCTCCACCTAGCGGCGCCGGCACACAGGGTTCTAGTCCCGGTCGGGGCGCTGGATTCTGTCCCGGTTGCCCCTCTTCCAGGCCAGCTCTCTGCTATGGCCAGGGAGTGCAGTGGAGGATGGCCCAAGTACTTGAGCCCTGCACCCCATGGGAGACCAGGGGAAGCACCTGGCTCCTGACTTCAGATCAGCGCGGTGTGCCGGCTGCGGCGGCCATTGGAGGGTGAACCAACGGCAAAGGAAGACCTTTCTCTCTGTCTCTCTCACTGTCCACTCTGCCTGTTTTTTAAAAAAACAAACAAACAAACAAAAACAACACTAAAGCTTTCACATTAATAGTTAGCTTGTTTAACATAGCATTTAAAAGGTGTTCAACAAATATTTCACTGAATAAAATAAATGAAATTATGTAATGTATATTGAAGTTCAGGTCCTATGCTATTTTAACATCACAGTATTTAAAATTCTCTAAATTAACTATGATTTACTCTATAGTATAAGGAAAATACAGATCTTCCATCTACTGGTTCATTCTGCAAAGGGTTGGAAAGGCTGGGACTGGGCCAGGAGCCCACAACTCCTTCCAGGTCTCCCATACTGGTGGCCAGGAACCCAAGCACTTGAGTCAAATTCACTGCTTTCCCAAGAGCATTAGCTGGGAACTGGACAGGAACTGAAGCAGCCAGGACTTGAACCAGAGCTAGAGCATGGGATGCCAGCACCACAAGCAGCAGCTTAACTGGCTGTGCCACAAAGCCAGACCCAAGTTCCTCACTGATAACCAACAATGTAAAATTAAGGCTTAATCTGATGAAACTCTATTACCAGGAGAGAGAAAGAACTGAGAACATAAAACAATTCTTAGCAATAAAGTATATGATATGGTAGGCTGAATGCAAAAGAGAACACAGAATGGGAAAAAAGCGGATAAAAGCAGATAAAAAAGTATCCACACATTGACATTTGTCAATCAAACTTCATAAGTCAAAGGGAAAAGAATTTCCTAAAATCCTTTAAGATTTTGAAGAGAAAACACACATCACACAAAAAGAAATGAACTCAAACCAAAAAACATTGGATCAATGACTTTAATAAAATCTGTACATTTTCAACATGAGAAAAAAAAACAAGTAGTAGATGAAAATAATGAAATTTTCAGAAGACAGCCATCACCCAAATGTACGTGCCATACACTCTCAGGAAACTATGAAAGATATGTTCCAACAATATCAGGTGAAGAAACAAGGAATAGAAATGCATGGAATCGGGGTCGGTGCTGTGGTGCAGCTGGTAAAGCCACTGCCTGCCGTGCCAGCATCCCATATGGGTACCGGTTCGAGTCCCAGCTGCTTCACTTCCAATCCAGCTCTCTGCTATGGCCTTGGCAAAGCAGTGGAAGAAGGCCCAAGTCCTTGGGCCCCTGCACCCACATGGGAGACCTGGAAGAAGCTCCTGGCTCTGGATCAGTGCAGCTCCAGCTATTGTGGCCAATTAGGGAGTGAACCAGCGAATGGAAGACCTTTTTCTCTGTCTCTCCCTCTCTGTCTACCTCTATACTCTACCTCTCAAATAAATAAAAATAAAATTTAAAAAAAGAAATGCATGGCATTCACAGAAAATAAGTTCAGCACAGGAGAGAGTATCAGATGATCCCCAGGATGACAGTGAACAGGGACGCCCAAAATTAATCACATGTAGCAATCTGTTG